GTATTGGATAGGTGGGAAATTTTTTTTTAAATATTTGAAATTAGCAAGAAGATAACATCTGGAATATACAATGACCTTACAAATCAGTGGGTTGAGAATTCCAATACAAAATTATAAAGTTGGGAATTTATTAAAAGTAAAATATGAATGATTGAATTATAAAAAGTTATAAAAGATTTACAAAATATTAAAAAGCCAGCTATTAATGAGAATAGGAGCATGGGTGCTTGGTGTGCTGAAACTGGGAGTATATACTGATATAGCCTTTGCAGTGAAAATGAATATGATCCAGTAATCTATTCTAGACACAAATTCCAGAGAAACATGAGCTCAGGTTCACAAGGGGACAAGCACAAAGATGTTCATTGTACCATCCAGCTAGTGACAAACGGAGTCCCCCATCACTCAGGAATAAGTAGGTAAAAACCTGGAATGTACATACAGTAAAATACTATCCAACATTAAGAAGCAATAATCAGTGTTACATATAACAACATTGGTATATCTTTGATAGGCTGTTTAAAAATTAATAGTAAATTAAAAAAAATAATTTAGAATTTTTAAAATTAGAGTAAAAGCCACAGTATAATATTCTTTATAGAAAGTAAAAATAATGTAGTCCTGGCTTCTCCACTTCCAATCCAATTCCCTGCTAATGTGACTGCGAACGCAGCAGAGGATAGCCCAGGCCCCTATGGCCATTTAGGAAACCTGGAGGAAGGCCTAGCTTCAGATCAGCCCAGCTATGGCTGTTGTGACCACCGGGAGAGTAAACCAGCAGATGGATAATGTGTGTGTAAGCGTGCGCATTTGTGGCTCTTCGTCCCTCTCTGGAATTCTTTCAAGTAAAATAAATCTTAAAAAAAGAAATTAAGATGCATATACAAAACAGCAATGCTTATGTTTCAAGGAATGACTCACATCTAAAGATACATACACACTGGGAACACCAATGCAATAGAATGATATTTATAGTGAGGAAGTTAGCAAATAGGGTGGAAGTGGAAGATGAACAGCAAAAGAATAATAACAAAAAAGAAGAGTATAACTGTCTGAAAATTGAATTGTGAGGGCACCTCAGTTAATTTCACACCTGAGACAAAAATATATATATAAATTATCCAAATTTCTGCATTATATAATTCAAAAAGCCTGTAATATAATTAAAACAGAACCCTAGACATGAACAAAGATATGTAAAAATTTCCTTCTTGAGATTTTTAAATTCTTTTTAAATATATCAAGGGCGCATTATTTTCTTAAGGAAGCATTTTCATTTCTCTTGCATCAGATCCCTTCTCAGACTAGCTCTCCAAAGATACTCTTATACACCCAATTTAAGCTCTGGCTCTCTAATGGCCTTTACCGCCACTTCATTTACATAAATGAATTCCTGAAACAAATTGCTTTCATAAGCTGTTTAACAATAACTAAGACTTAATAATTACATAATGTTCTATTTTGCATAATGATTTTCTCAGGCTTCCTTTATATTACATGTTAACTTTCTGGGGATCTGAGAGACTTTTTTGAAGCTCCCTTTTGTATCTACGATAGTACTGTGTACATGATAAGATCTCAATACATTTTCAGATAAAATGAAATTGTTGTGCAAAGGTTTGGATAAGTGTGATCATTACTAAGGGTTTAAAAATTATTTTGCAGCTGGAAAGTACTTTTTATTATTATTATTTTTAAAGATTTATTTATTTATTGGAAAGTCAGATATACAGAGAGGAGGAGAGACAGAGAGGAAGATCTTCCTTCTGATGATTCACTCCCCAAGTGAGTGCAACGGCCAATGCTATGCTGATCCAAAGCCAGGATCCAGAAACTTCTTCCCAGTCTCCCACGTGGGTGCAGGGTCCCAAAGCTTTGGGCTGTCCTCGACTGCTCTCTCAGGCCACAAGCAGAGAGCTGGAGAGGAAGTGGAGCTGCCAGCATTAGAACTGGTGTCAATATGGAATCCCAGCGGGTTCAAGGTGAGGACTTTAGCCACTAGTCCACCACACTGAGCCCCTGGAAAGTACTTTTTAAAGTGTAGTTGGAGAAAGGTTCCTCTCTGGCAATGTAGTTTATTGGAAAACCAAAGATACATAATATTCGCATCTAAAATACTACCTATTTTCTTTCTGTTTGTCTTTATGCCGTAATTAATCACTACTGCTTCCCTCCCTCCCCCCCCGAATGCTTAAAGAATTTTGTTTTTCCTTCAATCTAAAAAAAACCCAAATTTACGAGAAAGTCCAGAATGTATTTTCCCAATTATTTCAGGATTATGTGTCCATCTATTTTATTTTTTAATGATAACATAGCGTATGAATTCATTTGAATATGCTAAATTATAGTAGCTCATTCTGCTGAGTGTGAGAGAAGAAGAGACAAGATAGTAGAGTTGAGAAACTGTGTTCTCACTGAGACTCACAATCTCAATTTGCTTCCTTCTACAAATGACATGAACGAGAACCCAAGTTTCTGAAAGACAACCTGAACTTTGCATGATATCCAACAAGAGGTTTGAGTGTTAAAAACACAAAGATAGATGCAGCTTGCTGAATCTTGTGTAAATTTATATAAGATGTAGACTGGATCCAGGGATTAATGATTGAAGGGAATATAAAGTAAAGTGGAAAGAATTACGGATATCACACAGTAAGACAAAGGCACACTATTTCAGCTTCATCCTAGTATTTGATCTGAATCAGGCCAAAAACATTTCAGAAAATCTATTTTCTTTTTTGTATTATAAGGAAGTAGGAAGAGTTCTAACTCACAGTCATCCTAGAATTTTATCATCAACTAACATGGTAACTTAATAGATAAAAGATTTATATGGATAAGAACTTAAGAATGTAAGAGAAAAAAACTGAACTTTATACATGGCCTATTGATGAGATAGATTGGAAACTTAGAAGGTAAGTAATAAATATTTGTGGAACAAATGTAATAGAACATGGAACAAGGTAGAGAGGAAATAAAGTCAGATAATGACATTAACACAGGATTCTCAGGCCAGGAGTGAAGGAAATAGAGGAAGGAATTTACAAGGGCAGATAGGAAGTCGTCCCTCTCTATGCAGTACCAGGTAAAAGACTAGGCGCCAGACTGCCCTAGGCACAAACATTCTGAGAACCTAATGTTTATAAACAACACCAGCCAACATGTCTTGGACACCACAGAATTGTTTAGTGATATGTCAGTTAAACACGGATGTACACTTGGATTAAAATTTGGAGCCAGAAAGCAAGGCAAAAAAAGGGAGTGAGAAGCCAGATGAAATCATCCTAAGCTTTAAGACAGGACAGAATTGAAATCCAAGCTTCACTCCTTCACTAATAATACAAATAATAAAAACATCAAGATCTTTCCAAGACATTGAGAAAATGAAGATGTTAATTCTTAAAAAGTGGAAATTGTAGCATCTATAATGCAGAAAAGCATTAAAAATTAAGTGACATACAAAAATGACCTAGAACATTCCTAACATGACCCATTCCTTATATTGTCATGATTGCTTTGCTGTTACTGTAAACCTTATGCCTAACAAGGTGTGTACCAGCTAGCTCAATGTTTGAAACAATGTTTGTCTAGAACTATGAATAGCCTATTTTAGTATTCTTTTCTGTGTGTACTTTTTCCTATCCACTCTTCTTTCAATTTCCTCTGCCCTACTCTAAATTCTAACTTTGTCTTAGCAGCACTGGCGAGGAGAAAGAAATTTCCCCCGTCCAATCCCGGAAATCTATATCGCTGGTGTGGCTGAGGTCTGGACAATGGGACCAGGATGTCAAAGCAGCAGAAGCACCAGAGGAGGACTTGCCAAAAGGCCAAAGGCGGCCATTCAGCCATGGTGGAAGTTGCCTTTTTATGACCGCACACAAAGTATGGACCTCATATCACATTCCTACCACACTTCTCTAGGAGAGGTGATGCCCCCACAAACATCTGTTAATTTGTTCAAACAATACTCCTCCATGTGAAAGAAGTGGAAAGGTCGTAACTGTTACAGACTTTTTAGGATGGAACCTTTCCACAGTAGAGATGGTTACACATGTCAAAATAGCCCATGACACGAATTCATCAGAAAATTAATGCTAAGATTTGCTATGGACAATACCTTAATGCTGATAACTTACCAGTGAGCAAACAACACAGCATGTGTATTACTGTTAAACCAACGTTTTAAAGATTTCTAGTCTCAGTGAAGTATGTTAGGTTGTTCAACCAAGCCATGAACTTCTTGAACTTCTTCACATCCAGGTTTTGTCTGACGGAAAACTGTCCTGCCACAGGTTGGTCAGCCCTGCAGTTGCAACTGCCTCAAATATGAATTTGATGTCCTCTCCTTAGTTACCACGTATCCAGACTAGTTTACTATTGCCAGAGAAGGCCAAGAGTGGAGGAAGATGGCAGGAAGGCTGGGTTTCACTTCTAATTTTTGGCCCCAGCTTTCACGCTGAGGCAATTGTTTACAAGCGTTTAAAGCATTCTCTGTTTCACAATCTCAAAAAGTGACTTTTTCACGATAAACGGCGTTTATTAACACACGGACTCCTGCGGGAAGGTAAAATCTAGGGGACACAGCTAGGAGAAGTCCTCTGACCAAAGAGCTGAAAATGGAGCGTGGGCCGCGTCCAGGAGGGCAGGGCACTTGTTCGCTGTGCTTGTTCGGGTTTAAAGAATCCGCTGAGAGAACAGAAAACAGAGCGGCATTGAGCGGCGACGGGGAGCCGCGAAGTGCTGACATACACTGAATAGGAGGATACGGTGTGAGGGAAAACCAGGCCGGAGTGGAACAAAGGCGCCGTTGGGCTGCAGGGTGCAATCTGAGGCGGCTCCCGCTTCCCTGGAGGCTGGACAGGAGCGCCGCGAGCCGGGAGACGGCCGCCCGAGACAGCAGGAGGCGCACCTCAGCCGCGGCCCGGCCGCACGCCGCCCGCCCCGGCGCGGACCAATCGGAGGCCGGGATGTTAGCGGGTGGGAGGCGTAGCCGCGTTGCTACAGCCGGAGCTGGGCGGTGGCGGGCGCTGCTGGAGCGTCCATCCGATCGGGAGGCGCTGGCGCAATGGACGGACTGGAAGGTGAGGCGTGAAGGGATGGGAGCCGAGAGGCGAGAGCGCTCTTGGAGGCTCGAGGGGGGCCTCGGGCAGCAGTTCCGCCGGCCGAGGGCACGTTTGGAGCGGAGGGGTCCGCACCTCCTTTTGGGGACCGGGGCGAGCGGCAGTGGGCGGAGAGCCCCCCGGCACGGGGGGAGCGCTTGACTCGCAGGCTGCTCCACCTCGGATGGTCCCAGAGCCTGAAAGCTAGCCTCCCCCTCTCTCTAGTGCACGTTTGCACGTCCTCTCGGTCGTGCCTGGTTGCCGAGTTGCCTCTGGCAAACCAAGGTCTGGCCAGATTTTTTGTTCCTTGCAAGCTGGACTCGGTTAGGATCCGCGGCATCCGCACCGCCGGTCCGCTGGGGCCTTGGGGTGTGTCTGCAGCCTCGAGCTCCCACACCTCCCTAGCCAGTTTCTCAGAGTAACCGTTCTTCCATTTCTACGGCATCTTCAATCGGAGGGACGTCCGAGGAAGTGTCGCTGGCCAGGTTTAGGGGGGACAATGGGCGACTGGAAGGACTTAGTGGCTTATTCACGGGATCTGGCTAAAGAAGAGCCAGTACTTGTTCCTTATTTTGGGCTTATCCCTGCATTGTAACGGTGATTTCAGATTTTGCTTTGTTCCCATTTTTTTTTCTGTTCTCTGTATTCATTTTATCCTAATGACTGCATTCGCCCAATAAAATAAGGAGAAAAAATTTATGACAACAACAGCTTCAGTTTTTTTTTTTCCGTTTTGCTTTTCAATTGTTGTTTGATTCTGTTATCAGTTCTTTTAGTTTAGATGGGTTCAACCACAATTAAGAATTGCATGTTGGAGTGGAAAATCTCGGGGTTGTGTTATGGTAACTGGTAACTTCTGCAGTGGCCCATTCTCCTCAGAGAGCAAATGTGATTGTCAGTGTGAGTTTATCTCATACTTTTTCCCTGAGGTGAAGCTCTCACAGTAAGCATCTTAAGGATGATAAATAATCAGCGGATTCTGATAACTTTCGTTTGTGAGCAGCCGCAGTGTGGTATGACCTGTGAAGAACTTGTTCCTTGCTTAGTTTTCGAGTATCCGGGTTTCTGTGAAATAAGGGGGTGTAATGCTTACTGCTTACTTTAATGATACTTCTGCTTGTGGGGTTCCTTGAGAGGTGGCTTTCCCCACTCCCCCTTTGTAATTATTTATTATTTTAAAGAATGTGCTTAGTTGAGAGGGAGAGGCAGATAGCTCACTAATGGTGGCAGGAATCCTGGTATTTGGGCCAGCTTTGGCTGGATTCTAAGTGGACTGGGTGGGGTTTGAATTGGCACTCCAGTAGGGGATGCTGGCATTCTAGATGGTGGTTTGACCTGCTGAGTCATAACACTGTCCCTTATCATGTGCTTTAAGTTAAAATACCTGCTGCTATTAAAGTGGGTTGGAGCATCCTCTATTATCAAAGAAAAAGTGCTTTAGAAGCGTTTGCAGGTTTTTGTAACAGTTGTGTGATCAGGCTGCCCATCCTCATTTGAACTCAGTCAGGCCTTGCCACTGTCCTGTAAAGCCTGAGAAGTCCCATAGCCCTTCTTTCGTGTAACCCTTCATTTAGTAATTGGGTGGGGAACCATCTGACCTGCAAAATCATTTGATCTGGCCTTACCAAGGCAACCACAGGTGGAACTTGAAATTGAGTGAAACTTTAGAAGCCTAATGTTTAGATCGATAATTTCATATGACTCTTGAATGATCTTATAAACATCCAAACAATGCATGTCAGGAAAGAAGAAAAAAAGCCCTGAGAGTTGAAGACAGATTCATGTTTCTTTAGGGTTTCTGGTTTGCTTCGCATTTCCTTAGTATAAGCAAATGCTCCTTTACTGAAAATTTCATCTCTGTTATTTTAATTCACATTCATTGTTTTTCAGTACTGAGTTGGATGCCAGAATTCTGAATAGCATGCTGGCGAGGAAGGGGTACTTTTGTTCTATTAAGCTTTGTGTTTAGGGCATTTCATTTAATCTAAACCTCAGTTTTTATCAGCTATTTATAAAAAATGGAGCTATGTAATATTAACTAGTTGAATTATGATGAATATTAAATGATGTAGCATAATAAAGCATTTAAGTACTTCGTACCTAAGAGGCACCTTTGATAGATGTTTATTGGGTGAATGAATTTGCAGGAGTCATATTGTAGGCTTGAAAGTGGCACATGTGTGTAAAATAAGACATGCTTTAGAGGGATTGTCCTCTCCCTCTCTATGCAGCTATGGCAGGAAGATAGATGGGGGAAAGGAGAGGCTGGAACCACTCTCATGATGAGAATTTGAACTAAGGCAAAGGTAGCTGCACTTTGAAAGGAATAATAGAAAGCATTTCTGAGATGAGAAGTGAGTTATGACTGCTGAACAGGAAAGGGGAAAGGAATCAAAGACATAAACTGTCTTGCTTTGGCTGAGATGCGTTGTCTTTAAGCAACAGGAAAACCACATTAGGGAGATGAAGTAATGAGCTTGCCTTTCAATATGTTTGTGCACTACTTGAGGATATCAGACAGGAATGTCTAGTAAATACTTGGAAATATCTAACTGCAGGTATGTAGTACTTATCACCTGAGTGACACGGATACAATCCCCTAGGCAAACCATACTTACCAAATAAGGAAACAAACTTCAAAGAAGTTAATTCTTTTACATTGAGCAGTAAAGAAAATTGGGGTAAGGGAAAACTTCAAGAGATTTTAAAATGTTCCAGTAAGAAAAGTGCAGAAGAATCTAATATTTATTTAACAGAAAATATATTTCAAAAAAATCTGTTGGGCCCAGCGCAATAACATAGTGGTTAAGCTCCTTGCCTTGCATGCCTGGAATCCCATATGGGTACCGGTTCTAATCCTGGCAGCCCTGCTTCCCATCCAGCTCCCTGCTTGTGGCCTGGGAAAGCAGTCGAGGACGGCTCAAAGTTTTGGGACCCTGCACCCACGTGGGAGACCTGGAAGAAGCTCCTGGCTCCTGGCTTTGGATTGGCTCAGTTCCAGCCATTGCGGCTGCTTGGGAGTGAATCATCGGACAGAAGATCTTCCTCTCTGTACATCTGACTTTCAAATAAAAATAAATAAATCTTTAAAAAAAAAAGAGTCTGTAGCACTTATTATTCTTAAGTCTTAAATGCTGCCTAGATCAAACCTTGCTTAACTTGTGAAATTTGGAAAGCCTGGGCTTAGCAGAAAAAGATACCATTAAAGCTGAGAGAAAAGTGCTGCCATGCTCATGCTGTAGGAAGATCCAGTAAGATGAGGCTTCGAAAGAGGGCTTCAAATCTGACAGATTACTGTTGATCAGTTACATTCATTAAAAAAATATTTATTTGAAAGGCAGAGCCACAGGGAAAAACAAAAAGAAATGCATCTATCTGTTCACCTCCCACCCCTAAATGGCCTCAATGGACAGAGCTGGGCTAGTTGGAAGCAAGGAGCTGGGAAGTTTTTCTGAGTCTCGTACCTGGGTGTCGGGAGCCAAGCAGTTGGGCTGTCTGCTGATTTCCCAGACATATTAGTATATGTGGGCCGTATATATCATTTAATATAACTTCCTTGTTTTCATACTAGAGAAATCTGGACCTTAGGTTAAATACTGTTTTTTCCCAGTGACACAGCAGAGAGTTTGAAGTTATATAACATAAGGCAAATTCTGGTGGGTTTGTTTTGGTTGCCTGCTTGTGTGTGTGTGTTTAAAGAATTGCTTATTATTTCCAGGAGTTTTACAGAGAGAGCTAGCCAGGGATAGAGAGATCCTCTCTTCTGGATCCTCTGCTGGTTCACTGCTTAGGTAGGCCAGGTCAGAGCTGGACTAGGTGGAAAGTGTGAGCCAGAAGCTTCATGTGGTCTCCCAGGTAGGTAGCAGGGTGCTTAACACTTGGGTCCTCTACCTCTGCTTTTCTCAATCCATTGATAGTAGGCTGGATTGGAAATAGAAAATCCAGGGATGTGAACCGGCACCCATGTTAGATGTAGCTGGCGGGCTTTACATGCTTTGCTAGCAATAATGGCCCCCAGGTTCCAGTGCTTTTTCTACTACATTTTCATGTCTTTTAATGAGTACAATTAGAACAAATTCCAAGGCTGAAGCTATTTATAATGATGTGTTGGTAGAATTTGGCTCAGTAGATTTGTCAATATACATGTGCATGCCACATCCTGTGAATTAGAGGACTGTGCCCTAAAATCAGATAATGCAAAAGGAAATTATAAAATTATATTTATTATTTTTTTTAAGATTTATTTTTATTATAAAATATATCTTCCATTGATGATTCATGTGAGCGCAATATATGCCTATATATTACTGCTCTTTTGTTTATTATGTGCTTTATTTGATATTATGTACATTTGTTTAGAATTAATGACTTTTTTATGCAATTGACATAATTGCTTTTAAGTATTTGCAATACTATTTTCTCGCTCTCTCTTGCTCTTTTTTGTGTATGTGTGCCTGTGAGTGATGGTGATTTCCTTTTCCTGTGAGGATATTTCACTGCAGTTGAAGGCAGATGCTTAGGTAGCCTAGTACATTGGCAAGTGTTACACTCCTGGGAGAAAAGCAGCCAATAGCTGGTGGACATTCTGGGCCTGGTTAATGACAAATTTGTGTTAACTATACTAGTATGTCAGCATAGTTTCCTTTTTTTTTTTAAGAAAACTGGGGAATGCAGGGAATTCTAAGCTGGGACATGCTACCCTTGCCCCCAGGTTAAGGAACTGCAGATTGCCCAAGGAAGGGATCTAGAGATGTATTGCAATAGGAATAGCTAAGGCATGTTTGTCAGGGAAGGAAAGATTTTGGGTTCTTCCATGGACTGGATGACTCATTTGCAGGTATGCAAGAGAGCTGAGACAAGTGGTTTAGAGGGGGGAAGCTAGAGAGCATGTCTGAGTCAGGCCTAGGCACCTGCCTAAGTGGGAGACCTGGACCTGCCACCTACTAGCACTTGTGAAAACTGGTGCTAGGGGCCTGCAATGTCATGATGAAAAGTGGCGCTTGACAGCACACTCAGCATCTATAGCTGGGATTGAATCTGGTGGAGGAACTTGGGGAACCCCTCTGCTAGTCACAGCTCTTGCTGTTGAGTGTGAGAGCTGGGCCTGGGAGCAGGCTAGACCAGGCCGTTGGCACATGTGTGAGCTGGGTAGGGGAAAACCAGGCAGGGTCAGTCTATAGCACATACTGGCATGAATGAGAGCCAGGACACGGTTCAGGCCAGGCTGGATTGGACCACAATACCCACTAGTTCACATAAAGACTACTGGTGAGCCAGGTGAGGCTAGGCTAGGCTGCTGGACCTGCTGGCGAGAACTAGGTTGAGGGGTGAGCCAGGCTAAACCAGTGTGTAGCACCTGCTGGGGAATGTTTAGACTAGGGGCAGGCTATCTCAGCCAGAGTTGCTATACCTGCTGGCACATGCAAGACCTAGAGCAAGTTGTGGGCTGCATAGAACTTTGGGGACTCCCTTGCTGGGTTGCTATTTCTACTGGTAAGTTTGAGAACTGGTTCTCCTGGTGGGTCAAGCTAGGCTAGGCTGCTGTACTCACTGGTGTGCGAAATGGGTGCGGGCCAGCAAAGCTGGGCCATAGCACCAGTTGGCAAGTGGTAGGAATGGCTGTAAGTCATGTCAGGCTGGAATGCAGTACCCTGGTACGGATGCAAGATCTGGGGGTGGAAACATTCCTGGCAGGGAACTGTGGGCACTTCCCTACTAGACTGTACCTATAACTGCTGAGCAAAAGAGCCAGGGTTGGGCCCGGCCAACTGGACAAGGTGGCAGCACCTGTTGGCATATGTGAGGGCTAGATCTAGGGTCGAGCTAAGCCACAGAACCCACGAGAGTACATGAGACTTGGATGAGATATGGGCTGGACCGGGACAGGCTACAGCAAGGGCTATGTGTAAAAACCTAGGCCAGTGGTATGTGTGCTGGGCATTAGTGGAGAAGGTCACCCTGACTAGCCCATGGCACTGGCTTATATGTGTGTGGACCAGTCCTGTAGTGGGCTGGGTCTGGGCTGGGGCACAACACCCTATGGTTTGTGTGACTTATAGGGTTGAGATAGAACTGACCAAACTGCATTCACTAGTGTGTGTGTGTGTGTGTGTGTGTTGGCTGGTGCAAGTGACAGACTGCACCTGATCCTGTACTGTCTGGCACACATTAGAGTCAAATCTGAGGTCACCCTAGGTGAGATTTCTTGGGGGACTGCTAGGCTGGACCACTGGATTCAGACCCTGTCCACAGGGAAAGTTATAGCATGTGTAATCCAACCTTGGAGTGCATGTATTGATGCTAGATTTTATTTGCTGATGCCTGTTGGTCGATAGCAAGTCCACATGCACATGGGTATCATGACAGCCAGCTCATTCATTTAGGCCAGCAGGGGATGACAACTGCCTCATCAGAGGATGGATAAAAGAAGAGGTTGAACTGTTCTCCTGGCCAAGCACTGCAGCATGTTTCTGGGTCTATGGGATGCACTAAAGTGGACTTTATCAGCTAGTAGGCCTTGGGGGGAAGATTTTCTCAACCCGCTGCAGTAAAACTGACAATGTCTTAGGATTATTGAAACCACTCAAGTAATACCCTGGACCCTAGAGCATCATCAGAGGACTGTCCCCCTTCCCCAAGTGCTGATGTAGTTTCACAGCAAGTAATGGCATTTTCCCTTGCTTCCCCTGTGGACAAAGGAGGAAAAAGATTGAAACGTGTGTCCCACCCACTTTCCTCCATACCTGACCCAGCACACCCTAATCAGAGTCCCACACAGGCATGTCTCGACTATGTAAATAATATTAAAAATAAACTTTAAAAAGCATATTTTAGCATGTTGATAACTTGTGAAAATTAATCCTAAGCATTGTATTTTGCTGTATGGTACATTCTGATTGTTAGTTGGAGTTTTTGTATAAAAATGGGAACTGAGTTGGATAATAGAGTTATTAAGTAAATCACACAGTTTGTGTTAGCTTTATGAGAGCAATGTCTCAGTAGTTAACCTTGTAATGCTATTACTTGGTCTGCGGTTGACAAATAGTAGATGCTTATGTAGCACATCCATTATTTCAGTGTTCAGATTGGTTTTTTCTCAATAGTTTACTTTTGTGTGAGTGTGTTTTATCACCTACTTAACAAATATATTCAAATGTAATATAAAGCAAGCAAAACTTTTAAATTTTTTGTAATGTTTTATATTGCTCAGTGTTTAAACTACTTATTAATATTTATTTAAAGGAATAACTACAATCAAGGTTATCCACCCTGTGACATTACTTTGACTATTCTTTGAACACATTCTTAATGAGCCAAGTGGAATCTGTCTCGTAGCTACCTCAACTTTCAGTATTGTTAGTGGACTAAGTGATCTAGATAATATGGCTCAATTGGCTAATCCCACCCCTTCAAGTGCTGGAATCCCATGTGGTGCTGGTTCTTGTCCTGGCTGCTCCATTTCCCATCCAGCTTCCTGCTTATGATCTGGGAAAGCAGCAGAGGACGGCCCAAGGCCTTGGGACCCTGCACCTTGGGGGAAGCTCCTGGCTCCTGGCTTTGGATTGGCTCTGCTCTGTCCATTGTGGCCATTGGGGGAGTTAAACCAGCAGGAAGGGGATCGTTGTGTTTCTACTTCTCTCTTTCCAATAAAATAAGATAAATCTTTAAAAAATAAATTGCTCTCCCTGAATAATATACCCACTGCTGCTGAAGGACATGTCAACAAATCTTAGCTTTCTTTTGTAATTAATATCCACTATTTTACTTCATTGTAAAAATATTTCTGGGCTGGTCCCAGCGGTGTCACAGTGGTTAAGGTCCTCGCCTTGCACGCCCGGGATCCCATATGGGCGCCGGTTCTAATGCCGGCAGCTCCACTTCCCATCCAGCTCCCTGCCTGTAGCCCGGGAAAGCAGTCGAGGATATCCCAAAGCTTTGGGACCCTGCACCCGCGTGGGAGACCCGGAAGAGGCTCCTGGCTTTGGATTGGCATAGCATTGGCCGTTGTGCTCACTTGGGGAGTGAATCATCAGAAGGAAGATCTTCCTGTTTCTCCTCTTCTCTGTATATCAACTTTGCAATAAAATAAATAAATCCTTAAATAAACAAACAATAAAAAAATTCCTCTCTTTCAATCAAATTGGGTAGTGTGAAGAACTAGAAGAATTGTAGAACAGAGGTCACTTCTGTGTTTGACAATATTCTTACCAACATCTGTTTTAGGTCACCTGGTTTCTGTACACTCATCAAATGTATAGGAACAAATATTAGGGAGTCCTAGTTGCTCTTTTTTTTCATAAGTTTACTTATGTCACTGTTGAAAGAAATGGTCTTCTGTTGTCTTTTGTATGATACACATGTTAAAAGTCAGTAAAATACTAGGCTGGAAACATGGGGAATGTCCCCATGAGAGATGTTACCGATTCCAATACCATTTGTAGCAAAGTATTAATTGTGAAAATAAATTAGATTTAAATTTTAGTTAGAAAGTAAGGTGATGAATTGACTCAGAAGAATCCCTAATAGTGTTAGTTCTTTTGAATATTTTCATGTTAAAATTTGTGATATCTTGGTGTATGATTGGTAAATTAATTTTAACTGAAAGAAGTTATACCTACCTCTTTACTCTTTAATGAATTTTTCTCCTTAGATCAAAATATCTCCAGTAAGTACTGTTGTGAATCTTAACATATATGTAAAATAGTGAATATTTCACATTATTCAGGATAGGCAGTGTGCATAACTGAAAGATATTATCGTTAGGGCATTATACTTGCATCGTGTGGTGTTACATAAAGTAAGTTTTATTCCGAATTCTTTAGACATTAGTGACATATTTTCATGACTTGGAGTTTAATAAGATAAACAATTTTATGTTTAATAATTTATAATAGATATAACTCACAAGTTAACAAAACATAAGGAATTGGTTTGGTTAAAATACTTAAAACTAGATTTTATAGCAATGTAAATTTGGTTGTTCTTAAATTATCACTATTATGTGTTTATGATAGCCTATTTTGATCAATGATCACTAAGTCTTGTGCCCATTGTAATTGATAATTTTGCTTATTTCAAAATAGATCAAAACATTTTTCACAACAGCTGTTAGCCTACCAGTAAAACTGAGAAACAGCATTAAAATTTGGGTTTCACAGTTTGATAGGAAGTAATAAATTATTTTCTGTTTCAGAGAATGGAAGTGTTGTCCAAGTAGGAGAATTACTGCCTTGCAAGATTTGTGGAAGAACATTCTTTCCAGTAGCATTAGTAAGTAAAGAGGTTGTTTTCTTTCTTTTTTTTTTTTTTTTGGTGGAGTTGTTACTATTCTTTACTCAGAACAACCCTAATGGGAAAAGCTACAAGAACAACTTTTGAAGGGATATTCAGGAGCGTCTGTTGGCATTACTTCCCAGGACTCTTTTCAGAGTTTGATCTTCAGAACCCCTCTATTAAAAAGTAAAATTATTCCTAACTCTGTGTGTCTGTTAGCAAAAATAGGACAAAACACCTTTCAGAAATATGTGATAGGGGCCAGCTTTGTGGTGAAGCCTGTTAAGTGACCGCTTGTGCCAGGGGCATCCCATACGGGCACTGGTTCGAGGTCTGGCAGCTTTCACTTCTGTATCTAGTTCTATATTAGTGGCCTGGGAAAACAGCAGAAGATAGCCCAAATGCTTTGGTCCCCTGCAACCTGTTTCCACATGGGAAGCCCAGATGGAAGAATTTATCTTCAAAACTTCATAGTTTGTAGCTTTGGCCTGGCCCAACCCGGACTGTTGAAACATCTGGGGAGCTAACCAACAGATGGCAGATCTCTGTTTCTTTGTCTGACTCTCCTCTGGTGTCTCTGTCAAAATAATTAATCTTTTAAACATATGATAATATGTTGTGTTTATTTACAGAAAATGATATGATGTCTGGGATTTGCTTTAAAGTACTTCAGGAATAAAAACAAGTAAATGAAGTAAAATTGCTAAAATGTAATTGTTAAAAGAGTGATAAGTAAATGAAAGATTTTATACTTTGCACTTTTTTGCATGCTTGAAATGTTACAAAGAATTTTTTTTTCAGTATAGCATTGCTTTTGAAGTTATCTAATTTATTAGGTACTTTCAGATATTTAGCATATTCTAGTAGCACTTTTAACTGATTTTGATAAATAATCAGCTAAATAGGGAACAATAAAAAGCGTGTTCATGTGCCACATACATTTATTAACACTTTACATAAGATAAAAATATTTCTTTAAGTATAGATCTGCTGGATATGAACCTGCAGTAATCCACTATACATCCTTTTACTGTTTCCAGTTTGTTTCTTACAAGCAAAGTGAAGGGGCTCGTGCTATGGCTGCGGGTTAACCTGAAGCCTAGGCGTTTTCATAAGCATTCCTTATGGGGACCAGTTTAAATTGTAGGGTTTCTACTGTAGTCAGCTCCCTGAAAATGTGCCTGGGAAAGCGATGGAAGATGACCCAAACACTTGGGCCCCTTAACCCACAGGGGACATAGGTTGGAGTTCTGGGTTCCTGCTTTGGCCTGGTGCAGCACTGGCCATTGTGATCATTTGGGGAAGGGAAAGTGCAGATGGAAGACTTTTCTTCTGACTGTCTCTGTAATTCTGCTTTTCAAATAAATAAGCTCTTAAAAAAAGGAATTAATGATCTATAGTAGCTTTCTGACTACTACTGTGTTTTAGTTAGCAATGGCTTCTTGTAATTCCAAAGCATATTCTCTACTTATTCAGTGTTGTTTTTGATTATCTTTGCATTATTTTTATGAGTTTTCATAGGCAAAAGTATTCTTATTCATTTATCTAATCTTTGTTTAAGTGATGTTATCACTGTACTGACAATTTATATAATCATGCTTGTAAACAGTTTGTGTGTATACCTGACACAGAAAAATTTATGTTAACAGACATGCTTGGGTGTACCGGAAAGTGCTGCTAGCCTCATTTTTATTACTTAGACATTTGATTCTAGTAATTCTAATTACAATGCTTGCTTGCTGAACAAAGATTGAAATCCAGTATGTGAAACAGTTGATTACTAGTTATGTACTGAAAGCGTTAAGAGCTTTCATGACAAATACATCCATCCAAGATTTACCTTTTCTTCCCAAATAAGGCTTAACAGTTAGTTGTGGTTTCTTAATTGTTTATGAAAATATAGAATAAAAAGTTCTTTTGGTACAGCTGATATGGTCAGTCAGCATGTATGGAAGGAGTTTTATTGATTAAGTAGAGGTCTGTACAATGGCTCTTGTATACTTTTTAGTATTAATAATGTGAAAACAGAGAATATCTTTAAAAGGTCTTTAAAATATTTGAGAGTATTTCTTTATAATTTGTTATTATGAGAGATAACGTAGCATGCATTATATTTATGTGTATATATATATAATTTTAGTTAAGGCAAGGTGCATCTTATTATTTATCCTCAGGTGTGTTAATTGGGTCTAATTTTGTGTGATTTTTAAATTGATCTCAACTGAAATGAGATTTTAGTCTTTCTTTTTTGCAATAAGGAGATTATGCTGCATTTCTTCATCTTCACAGAAAAAGCATGGACCTATTTGCCAGAAAACTGCAACCAAAAAACGGAAGACTTTTGATTCAAGCAGACAGAGAGCTGAAGGAACGGATATTCCAACAGTAAAACCTCTTAAACCAAGGGTAATTGTAAAATCTTTGGAACAGTATAAACTTTGCTGTTAATATGTTGAAAACCTTGTGCATGTCTGTTACTTTAACCCAATAGAATGTCTTAACAAAATTCTGTGTTCCGTTTTCTAAACACATGTGTTAAGAAATGGATGGATAAAACATTTTATTTCAAATTAAATTTTAAACTACAAAGGAGAGTCCATAGTACTCTCTCGAATTTTAATTAAAGTGAGGTTTTTTCTTTTTATTTTAGCATTGAAACTCAATGGCTGGCTATATTCTGAAAATGGTTTGAAAGTTTTTATGCACTCTTTTTGAGTCGTGGTCTATTTCAGATACGATTTAAGGTGTCAGGTTTTACTGTTTCTTGGTAGTGGTATAACCCCTTAATTCTGTATGTAGAAAGTGAAGCAACTGTTCACAGGTGTCTTAGCTTACTAAGAATGTGTTGTCCTGTTTCAGTGTTTCGGATGTTTGTGATCTATATCATGCTTTTGGGGGAGAAGTTTATCAGTTGTTGAATTATACACATATAGTTATTGTTAGCTTATTTTCGTTCTTAGAACCAAGCTGAGACCCTGCTGCAATAATCTCTGCTCAATATCTGCTATATGTTGCCCAAAATAATTCACTTAAATACAATGACATAATTTTTTTTTTTTTGCATTAGATTAAGCTTTATTTTAGGATTGAAATTCCTCCCATCAGCCAAACCCAGAAATTCAATTCTCAGAGAATTCCCGAGGTGACAGCAGTAGCAGGGAACCCAGGAATTAGCACTGTCCCCCAAAGACCCGCCAGACACCCCTGAGAAGCTTCGAGGTACACCATGTCTGGGCCTCCATCTAGCTGCCTAGCGCCTGCCTCGAGACCTGGAGGGCTACCCCATTCATTCGATGCCATTCTCATGGGTGCATTGACATAATTTTAACAAGTCATTTCAGTGAGAGAGTCAAAGCTAAGTACCTGATTGAATAGGTTTTTGAAACCAAACCCTGTTTTCTGATGCTTCTGAAAGAGCACTTCCCTAACATGGAATTCACCTTAGTAATAAAATTATTTGGTAATAGGAAAATCAGATATCCATCTTTTTGAGTTGTGAATATTGGTGGGAAGTGTGGTGAGGTTTGAATAAGGTACAGTGTTTGAAGTTGTCTTTTAAACTTCAAGATGTGTGATTGTATTATTTAAAGTAGATAAAGTAAAGCAATCTGTAATGTTAGTGTAATAAAGTGATTGTGGGAGCTGGCTTGAGAGGCACACTGTTTGAGAAAGTTACTTAATCTATTTATGTTTCTTCTTGCCCGTGCAGTGGTGATAATAATAGTGTCTAACTTTTGGATATGTTGTTGATAAAATCATACATGGTAATCTTAGTAAATGTTAGTTATCCTGTTAGTTTTGTAAAGGGATGGTAATTATCCTTAGTTGTCTTCAGAAAAGCAGCCAAGTTAAAGAACATTGCTTTACAATAATAGTTCATTGACTTGCTACTTAAATTGTGGTTCAGAGAATTAATATTAACATTATTTTGGGACTTATTAGAAATGCATAATCTTAGGTCATACTCAGACATACTGAGAATCTGAAATGTGACAAAATCTTAGGTGAATTGCATGGATGTTAAATTTGAGAAGCAATGTCTTAGAAAATTTAAAAATTGTATAGTTCATAGTATAATTACCTGTATCAAAGAAATCCTACCAAATCTCAAGTAGGGAAAGACAATTGTAGAAGCTCCACTTTTAGACAAATGGGCTTATTCCACATATTACCAAATATTTGTAAGAGCTGCCCAAGGCTCCTGAGAGATCTGGGTCAATGGGGCCATGGTAGAAAGTGCACTAAGTTTCCAGAACTCTAGCTTTGATTTTAGACATCTGCCACCTTAGGCTAAAGGTCTCTTTTACAGGTGATTCCTAAAGATGACAGGTCTTATTTAAAAATAAACAAGAATACTTCAAAGAAATTGAAGGATAAGTTCATTGTGGTGAAAAGAAATTTAATTATAAACCTACAATAAGTCTTCAAAAATGTGTGGAAAATGTGTAAGATAAAATATCTTCATACATTTCCAAAAGAATTTATATCAGAAAACACTTTACTTTTTTTGAAGTATTATTATTATTATTTTAATTGGAAAGAAAAATTTACACAGAGAAGAAACAGAGAGAAAAATCTTCCACCACCTGGTTTGCTCTCCAAATGGCCAGAGCTGAACTAATCTGAAGCCAGGATCCAGGACTGCCCACCTGGTCTTGTTCACAGTAGTAGGGTCCCAAGGCTTTTGGCCATCCTCAACTGCTTTCCTAGACTATAGGCAGAGCTGAATCGGAAGTGGAGCAGCAAGGACATGAACTGAGCCCATATGGGATGCAGCACTTGGAGGTGAAGGATTAGCCAGTTAAGCCAATGTGTCAACTTTTAATTCACTTTTAACTCAGTTTCTCTCCAAACTTTTTGAAGTACCCTTTTTGGACCCATGACCTATAATGAACAAGTTGATGTTGGACACAAACCAGAAAGTGGACAGGAGAGGAATAGGAAATTGAGGAGGCATTGAAGCATTCTTGGGAAGCCTTCCTGAAGATGGGGGACCCCCCCCCCCGAAATGGCTGTCTTGTTTTTGAAGTGGTTTGTGAAAACTTAGCAAAGCTGGGATGGTAGCATTAGTTCTCCTGGATTCAGATGGTTTCAGAGAAGCAGAAGGAGCAATGTAGTAATTACACTGAAGCCCTGATTATGCACAGGAGGTAGCCTTTGATATAGCAGTGAAGTTTGCTAGCTTGGATAATCTGAAAGGCTGTGCTGCTCGTGTCTTCCCAAAAATCTTTTGCAAATAGTTGTATCTAGAAAGCCTAACTCATTAATGATAAGTAATAACAGAATCTGCTGGCTTGACATTACAAGCAAAAAAAGAGAAAGAGAAAGAGAGGAATAGAATTTACCAGTAACTGATTGTGATAGGGTGCAGCTGCAGCTGGTTGATGGCTAGCACCTGCTTGCGGAGTTAATTGACAGTTGCAGAGAATGCAGAGGGGGAGTTTTTTATGCCCTGCCTTTCCTAGATCCATTCAAGTTAATAGAATGTGCAAAACTACTTCTGGAGGCTCTTTGCGTGTTCCCCACTCACCCCTCCTGCCTCCAGAGCTATTCAAGTTAACTGACAGTGTGGCACTTCCTGCTTCCTGTTGCTAGCTTAATTAACTGCAGGAAAACTTTGGGCTCTGGCAGCTCTCTTCCTGCCTCCAGCCACTTAGTTAATTGAATGTATGGAAACTTTTCTGTGTGACTGTCAGTCTGATTGGAGGATGAGAGCTTAAAAACCCCTGACTTCTGCCACTTGGTGCAGTAGCCGCTGGAGTGTAGTGGGAAGTGCTGTTGCCAAGTTAGGACTCCTGATGTTCTGCACTAGCCTAGCAGTTGAGATGTTGGCATACATAAGTGAGCGTGTGGGTCTGATGCCTGTTTCTGGCTCTGGACTCAAATTCTGCCATCACAGTCCTAGGGAGGTGGCCCTGATAAGTCAGGTCATCTTGTTCCTACCATTCACCAGAGGATCTGGATAGCATTGCTAACTTCAGGATTCAGCACAGAGCCTAGTCCTTGTCTATTGAGAGTATTTGGGGAGTGAACTGGCAGATCAGAGTTCTCTCTCTTTTCTGGATGAAATTTTGAAAGTAATAGAATGTATGACTTATGAGTCAGTGAAGAAATTAATAAGAAAAAGCTTTTTTGAATGAAAATGGAAGACAAAAGTATCAAACCCTCTGAAATGTTGCAAAAACAGTATTGAAAAGGCTATTGATCTTTTATTTTGCATGAAGGTTGCCTTATATCAAAGAGAACATATAATATTTATCCTTTTGGGATTGATTTTTTTTAGTGAGTGTGAAGGTCTGTAGTTGAGAACATTTGGTTGCAAAAGGTTACATTTCATTCTTTTTAATGGCTGAGTAGTATTCTATGGAGTAGATGTACCACAATTTCTTTATCCACTCCTCTTTTGGTGGGCATCTGGGTTATTTCCATGTCTTTGCTATTATAGATTGTGCTGCTGTAAATATAGGATTACAGATCCCTTTCTCATATGCAGATTTCATTTCCTTTGGATATATTCCCAGACAGTAGCACCATTTTCTTTAAGAAGGGTTTTGATTTTTTTTTCTTTTTCATTTCTTCAGTGACACATTCATCATTCAATAGCATGTTGATTAACTTCATGTTTTTGTAAACTTCCTATTTTTCTTCCTGTTGACCTCGACTGCTGGCTGACCCAGGACAGGTAATCCCCTGAGCATGGTCCCTGTGTACTGCTTAGATGGGACAATGGATATAATAATGCTGTTTCTGGTTTGTGTGCTGTCAGGAGTTCCAGGAGAGGTGAGGCCTCGCAGTAGTGGAATGTGGGCAGAGAAGCCAGGGAAAGGTGAATGTCTGCAGCTTTGTGTGTCTAGGTTATTCGTTGACTGTCTCTAGGATAAGTTATATTGTTGGGGAAGCTGGGACATAGATCTTCAGGTTAATGGATGGACTTAAGGATAATGACCATTTGTTCCTCTTTGGATTATGTTTGGTTGGATTATGATTGGTTGGATTGCCATATGGACTTGTGATTTGCTATTTCTAGTATGCTCTATTATCACCAAGCTTGGTTAATAAAGACTCCTTAATAAACCTTAGACATGTCTGGTGTGATCTCGCTCACACCCCATAACAGTAACTGTGCAAAAGGTACTATCATATCCATTTGTGAAGATATAATGCAGTACACACCTCTACTTCCAAATCAAAGATGGACTCTCCTCTGTTGTGCATACCTACAATGTCAGGATACACTTAAAGAGCAGAATGAGGGACTTAGGACTGCTTTTGAAGGACTATTTTACTGTAATAATATGGGGGGGATTCGTGGGAGAGAGAGCATTTGGGGAAGGTGGGCAAGGGAAATCCCAGATCCTATGGAGCCGTATCATAAAATAATAGTCAATAATAAAAAACAATGTGGTAATTAAAACCATTAGATATTTGTTAATTTTGCTGTGAATGTGTTACGTAGTCTCATATACATGTAGTAATAAACACACTGTAAAAGGAAAATAAAGGCATAATGCTTTCTTGTATTTCAGTGTTATAAAATCTGAATACTTAAATGGCAGTATTCAGCACAGGATGATCTGAACAGTGAAACCCAAGTTCAGAAGTGGGCTCCGTTCCAAAAGGAAATCTTTTTCCTGATGAAGATGCTGTCTCAGTTTTGTGTGGAGATGATTCAGTAAAGGATATTAACACAGCTGCATGGCTATACAGCATGCTTCCAAACAATGAAGACATACATTTATTTATTTATTGTTTTGGTAGCAGATTAGCCTTAGTTAAGATCATTAAGCTAAATCTTAAAAATAATTCTGCAAGTCAGCATACCCATACAGAATCGCAAGACATACCGCTTAGTTGAGATAGCCTCCTCTGTAGCTATAGGAAGTTATTACAGAAATGACTGATAGCAGGTGCTTGACTTCTTGTTCAGAGAAAACCCAGTTACAAATGCAGAGCACTGTTTTTCACTTCCTCAACAGTTAAAAACACCAGGGCCTGGGGACATACTCCGACTATGGGAAAACAGAGATACAGTCTTAGGAGGAGGATAAATGGATGTGATACATAGTCTGTCACAGAATTATGGTAGAAATTGCGTATAATGCAATGCAATTGTGTGGATTTTCTTCAAAAGTTTCTAAATTTGAGATTAAGCATTTCTGCTAAAATCATTTAAAGCAGTACTAATTCTGTTATTTCAGTTTAGTAAAATAAAGTTTGATACTGATTTTCCTTTCTTTATAGCCAGAACCACCAAAGAAGCCATCTAATTGGAGAAGAAAGCATGAAGAATTTATTGCCACCATTCGAGCAGCTAAAGGCCTTGATCAGGCACTGAAAGAGGGTGGCAAGCTTCCTCCCCCTCCTCCACCTTCCTATGATCCTGGTATATGAGATATTGTAGACGGAAATACAAATGTGCAGAGATAACAATTATAAGAATTTTGCAGGGCCCGGCGCGGTGGCGCAAGTGGTTAAGTCCTCGCCTTGCACGCCCGGGATCCCATATGGGCGCCGGTTCTAATCCCGGCAGCCCCGCTTCCCTTCCAGCTCCCTGCCTGTGGCCTGGGAAAGCAGTCGAGGACGGCCCAAAGCTTTGGGACCCTGCACCCGCGTGGGAGACCCGGAAGAGGCTCCTGGCTTCGGATCGGCATAGTATCGGCCCGTTGCGCTCACTTGGGGAGTGAATCATCGGATGGAAGATCTTCCTCTCTGTCTCTCCTCTCTGTATATCCGCCTTTCCAATGAAAAAATAATAAAAATAAATCTTTAAAAAAAAAAAGAATTTTGCAAATTTTAAGTGTTACTAATTTATAATAGAATCTAATGAAATGTTATCTTTATAAATGCTTTGGTAACTAGTAGTGACAGTTCATACAGCTGAGATCATAAAGGCGTATCAGGGTCCCACTGCTGTAGCCTAGTGGCTAAAGTCCTTGCCTTGCACGTGCCAGTTTTAATCCCAGCAGCGCTGCTTCCCTTCCAGCTCCCTACTTCTGGCCTGGGAAAACAGTTGAGGACAGCCAGAAGCCTTGGGAACCTGTGCCTACATGGGAGACCCAAAGAGGCTCCTTGCTCCTTGCTTTGGATCAGTGCAACTCTGGGAGTTGCGGCCAGTTGGGGATTGAATTAGCAGGTGGAAAGATCTTCCTCTCTGTCTCTTCTGTCTGTATATCTGACTTTCCAATAGAAATAAAATCTTAAAAAAAAAAGACATATAACTGTGGAAATAGGGAATCCTTTGTCTTGTATGTCAATACTTGTAGTTAAGCACATAACATTGTAGTGTTTTAAAAATTATAGCGGCTATTAACTTAATATTCCAGTATGTAATGTAATCACGCTTGTTGGGATATTGTCATTCAATAAAATAATTCACATAGTTCTCTTACCTTGATACCTTATCATCTGGGAAGAGGAAAGAACCACAATAGTAATTATTGGTACCGTTGACATGAGTTAACTACTATAGAGACTGGGCTACCTAAGTTATGCCCTGAATTTTAATTCTTATTGGCAGCAATGGTTGTCTTTGTTCAATGTTAGCAAAACTTTCTTTAAAACACAAACACACACAAGACTGACACGCTGTCCATGCCACAGTTTGCCAGTTCTTGTTTAAAGAATTTATAATTAACTTTAGTGCTATGAATTTAACTTGTGTCTCTTCTATTTCTACTTTAATTTTCTTCATGAAATTGAGTTTTATCTGCTTTAGAGCATTGTGTTACATATTACTTTCCATGGCTATATTCTCATGTCTATATAAATAAGATGGAATGTCAGTTTGGTTTTTTTTTTTTTTTTTAAGATTCATTTATTTGAAAGGCAGCGTTGCACAGAGAGAGATCTTCCATGCATAGGTTCATCCCTAAGATGGCTGCAATGGCCAGGTCTGTGCCAGGTCAAAGCTCTGAGCTTCTGTGTGTGTGTGTGTGTGTCAATGCACTTGGAGCATCCTCTGTGTGTCTGTGTGTGTGTGTGTCCCCATGTCTCAAAGCGCCCGGAGCATCCTCTGCTGCTTTCTCAGGTGCATTAGCAGGGAGCTGGATTGGTAATGGAGCATTTTGGATTCGAACCAGTGCCCATGTGGGTGGTGGCACAGGGAGCTGAGCTGCTGTTAACATGCTATAGCACAGAACCAGACGCAGAATATCTGTCCTTAAGGATAATTTTGACTTTTGAAATTGTTTTCTTGGGATTGGTGAAATAGTGGGTTTTTTTGTTTTGTTTTGTTTTGTTTTTGCTTTTGAAAGATTTATCTGTTTACTTGGGAGACACAGAGAGAAAGGTATTCCAACTGCAGATTCACTCCCCAAATGGCTATGGTAGCTGGAATGTCTTCCAGGTCTCTTGTGTGGGTACAAGGAAGGTCCCAAAGACTTGGGTCATCTCATGCTACTTTCCCAAGGAGCACTTTAGCAAGGAGCTGGATTGGAATTGGAACAGTGGATACTTAAACGGGCATTCGTATGGGTTGCTGGCACTGCAGGCTGTGGCTTCACCAATTACGTTACAGTACCAGCTCCAGCAATTTCTTTTTATTAAAGGTTTTATACTTATTCCATCAGTAAGGAAAACAGATTTCTGAGCTCAGAGAGTGTAAAGTATAAATGATATGCTCCCTATGAAAAAGTAAAAATGTTGAAACTAAGATTATTTTTTCACATTGTTAAATTTTTGTGTTTATTCCCAGTGTCACATTTAGTTGATATCTTTGACAATCCTCCAAAATCCTTGTCTGTGATAATTCCTAGATTGAATTTTAAAATAAATTTTATTTACAGTATACTTTGCATTTTGGAAAGATATTTCGTCTTGGAAACATTTGCTGTGTCTTAAATTTGAATTAATTATGTTAATGAGGCCTTTAAAAAATCGCTCCATCTGTTAGGTCATCTAAGAGACAACTGTTTCAAATCCATGAAACAATTTCTTCATTTTCTGTAAGTGAAATTATAGATTTCATAGATGAACCCACTTTTTGAAACATATTGTAATGTTACATTTTTGTATATTGCCAATTAACCAGTCTATTATATAAAAATATGCATCCATGATGAAAACATAAGGTGTTATTTTGAGCAAAAGAAGTAACTTTTTCTTTTTTTTCATCATTTAGTTCTTTAAATTGAGAATTTCTCTTTTATTCTTTTCTTTAGCTATATTTGATTTCGATTGTGAAAGTCTTTGCTATCTTTTGGTAATACCTGTTAGGTTTTTATAAAGAATTAGGTGCTTTTGCTTATCACATGTTGCTAATTATGTCATACATCTTTAATTGCCATTTATACAAGCTAATGAGTCTCCCTTCATTTCAGATATGATGTAATCAATCTCCTGTTTTTATCTTTTTTAGATTATATTCAATGCCCATATTGCCAGAGGAGATTCAATGAAAATGCAGCTGATAGACATATAAATTTCTGTAAAGAACAGGCAGCGCGTATTAGCAATAAAGGAAAGTTTTCTACAGATACCAAAGGAAAACCAGCTTCCCGGACGCAGGTGAAATAGTGAATTTGAATAATTTCTATGTAGGCATCAGAAAATGGGTCTTCCAAATATATATGCTTTCCCTACCAAATTAAATGCATTTCTTTGAGAGTTAGTAAATAGCTTCAAAGTTTGAATAGCTGATAGAGAAAAATTGTGAAATCTACATGATTTTAGAAGGATTTGAGTTTATAGGACCTGAGGACAGAAGAGGAAAAATGTAAGAAAATGAGGTAGAGATAGTTGACGTTGTGTTAGTAAAAAGTGTGTGGAAGTGAACATGTGTCAGTTTGAATAATCACATTTCCAGGTAATATGGGAGTGTGGTATATATGGGAAGGAAAATCTAGCTACCTTTCTAATTATTAAGATGTGACAGTCTACATTCTTCTATTGTTTCTTTATAAGTGGTCTAGTAGACCAAGTTGTTTATATTTTTAATATGAATTTTAAAATTGACTTGTGAATTTCTACAAAAATTTGAGGTTACACTAAATCTATAAATCACTTTGGGGAGAAATAACATCTTAAGTGTATTACATTTTCCAATTCATGAACTTGTTAACATTACCTGCAGTGATTTGTAGTTTTCAGTATATAGGATAGATAATACACAGATTTTTATTATGAATTTCCTTAAGTGTTCCATATTTTTGGATGTTCTTGCAGATGTAATTCTATTATTTCATTTTCAATTTATTGCTAGACCAGGAATATTACAGATAAGTATGTCTGTATATCTGTGTGTATATAGATATCAATATATAACGGTTATCTTTGTCTATCTGTAAGTATAGATATATTGTGCCTGTTGTTTTGTTCAATTAATGTTGGATAACTGCCCTATAGATTTTGTTGATTATGTCACCTATATATTAGGGTAGTTTTGCTTCTTTCTCTGCAAACCACTTGCCTTTTTTATGTGCATATAATTTATTGTACTGATTATAGTGTTTATCATTGCTAGATGTAAATTATGAGAGGTCTTATTCTTGCCTTGTTCCCATTCTTTGTGAAAGGTTTACTGTTAAGTGTGAGGTTAGCTGAGTGATTTTCATCTGTGCCTTGTCAGCATCAGATAGTTCTGTTCTCAGAGATCTTTTGGAACCATGAGCAGATTTTGAATGTTCTTATGTATTGAAATGATAATATAGTTTTTTCCCCCATTATTCCAAAAGAGTTGCACTTATTGATTTTCTGATATTAAACCAATTGTGTACTTCATGAATAAATCCTTAATATAAATACTTAGATTTGATATGCTGAATTTTATTAAGAATTTTTACAACTACATCCCCTATCAGAAGAGCAGTAGGATTTGGGTAGTGGATCTGCTTCCAGTTCCAGCTTACTGCTGATGTACATCACGACAAGTAGCTAATGATGCCTAAGTTTCTTGGGTCCAAACCATTTATGTCAGAGAGTTGGATTGAGCTCTGGGCATTTGGTTTCAAAGGACACAACTCCAACTGCTGGGAATTTTGAGGAATGTACCAGTGGATTAGGAAATCTTCCTCTATCCCTGTCTCTCCGATTCCCTTCCAAATAAAATAGTAAAAAAAAAAAAAACAAAAACCCAAACCTCGCATGTGTAATTGTGATACCTGTATGTGTATGATCATTTTCAAAGGTGACCTTGATAGGTGCATTTTTGCTATTCTGCTTCCTTATTCATGGTTGCCTGTATACTTAAATCAGAGATAACAGCTGACTGTTTGCCCTACATGACCCTTAAAGCTTCATTCATGATTCTTTGTATGAAGTGCTTGTTTCTTCCAAGTATTTGGTGTTACTCTTAGTGTAGAACCAATTTAAATTAAATAATGGACTTTAATTTTCCTAAAATAGCCTAATTTGTACAGCAGGTTCCCATGTTAGCCAGACAGAACTTATGTGGTATTGGCCTGTAACTTTTCTTTTTCATTTTTTCTGGTGTTCAGTGCTTTTTTATATACTGTCTTGAGCATTTTTCGGTTTCAGTTGGGCCAAATAATTTTTTGTACTTGTTTACAGAAATAGATGTTCTCCATATTCTTTAAACTTTTCCAATTCCCATGAGTAAGCTTTGTAAATTTAATATTTTACCAGGAAAATTTGTTATATTCGTGGTTTTTCCCCACTCCGTATTCATGATTTATAAAAAATAAAATAATGGTAACTAGCAAATATTTTGATGAATGAAAATATGTGTGTTGAGTGTAATTGTTTAAAAATGAAATGGTCATGTTTTCTGACCATTTAAAATAGCCTTATACAAAATTGTAGACAGCTAACATTGTCTTAAAAGACCTTATAATAGTTACAAATTTTCAGCTGCATGCTGAATAGGACACAACACAGGAAAGAACAAATCAGATTGTCTGCTTCGGGGGAGCAGTAAGGTACTGATAGGCAGGTGAGTATGTTTTAAAAGAAAGACATTCAGCAAGAAAACATTACCTGAATTAAAGTGATGAGAGGTCTAATGAGGAGAAGGGAAGAATAAAACACCTGTTGAAAGAAATATTTTGCCATTTTTGATGTATCAGTAGGTTATTAACTTAATAAATGTTAACTATTATGAAGCCCAGTCTTGGGCTGCTTAACTTATGGTATACCACACATGCATCCTGTGTTTACATTAATTGTTCTGCACTTTTTTTCGGATGGTTAGCTCAGTATGAGCATGTCACCAGTGTGGTTTGGTTCTTTATTGTTCATATTTTAAGAGGACATAACTGATAATTTCATCAGTCTTTTTTGAAGTCTTTTTTTGCTTTAAAATTTTTCTAATGCCATTGGTATTTGAATGAGTCTGAAATTAAAGCAATGTACTTCTAAACACAGAAACAAAGAAATCATATATCTGTGGGGCTCATCTCCCAAAGTTTCCAAAATTTGTTTTTCTGTTTCACAAGTAGCATATAAGATGTTTGATTGCTAACATACTAGTGCAAAATTGCTTGCACTCATTTTTATGACCCTTTAACAAAATGTAGTTTTGTGAACATATGACTTCAAAATTATTGTTAATTATTTTTGGTAGTTAATGTCTTAAATTTTTGTAGTGCTTAGTGATGAAAAGTATGAGTTGTCTTTAAAAATTGAACCAAACCAGTTTTCCCATAAAGTCCTGAACAGTCTTACAATATTTTGGACTAATACTTAACTGCACAAGCAGATGTCTTTATAGTTGCAACACTGAACTTGAACTGGATGGTGTTAGTTTTACTCCTCTTGTGCAGTTAAGGTGGGTAATTCTGGTCATTTCTTAGTATTGCAAAAGAGGATTAATGAATTTTTGTTTGTTTTTTTAGTGAATTAAGCAAATATTTGGCTCAAAAAGTTAATGCTGATATAATTAATATACCTTTTTTTACAAAATTATTAACAGTAGGAGTCCTGTCTTACATCTTTCTAAGCCAGATTTGAAAATAAAACTGACATCTATCTAAAAAATATAGGAAAAAAAAACAGAAAAAAACCATAATATTCAACTTTTATATGTGTTAAGGTTAGTGAAGCCAGACTTAGCTGTTTTTATTTATATTGGAGGTATCCTTAAGATAGCTATTATAAAATTTGTCCAGGCTGATAATCTGATTTTTTTCAGTAGGAAATACAGCTGGATTAATCATATGAAATAAAAACACACCCAGGAATACCTAAGAATCTTGACTTTTAAAGTTAAACTTCAGTTGAGCATGATTATGTGTTTCTAAGATTTTCTGTTGTTTTTATGGTGTTTCTTTTTTCAAATCTTATCACTCATGGAATTTGTTGTTATGCTCCCCCCTGCCCGTTTGCTTTAGCAGTAGAACTTTTGAAACAAGCGTGTAGTGTACCGGTTTTAATAGAGAATGTGTTTCAGAAAATCTTTCTATTATGGAACAGATGTTAATTTATATTTTTTTGACTTGAGTATTTATTTCAGTAACTAATAAAAATGCTGTTTAAGAGAGTGAGCTTTTTCCTTTAGATTTTTTTGGTAGTGAAATACATAACAAAATTTAATATCATAACTATCTTTTCAGAAGTTTCTACTCATTTGAGAGGTAGAGAAAAGGATAGAGGGAGAAAGCTAACTCCCGTCTAGTGGGGCCTCCTCTGATGCCTGTGCTGTCCAGGACTGGGCCTAGTGAAGACAGCAGCTGGGAACAAAGATCAAGGCCTGCATAGACTTGGGCATCACCTCGGCCGCTGAAAGTATGCGTTAGCAGAAGCCGTTTATCCAAAACATTTATCAAACACTAACTGTTAAAAGTCTGAGCAACTTTCCCTGAATCATTTTTAAATGTACAATTCCATGGCATTAAATAAATTTATTATGCAATCATAATTTCTATAACTTTATTTTGTAAAAATTCTGTACTCATGGAATGTGAGCATGTAACTACTAGTTTATAGTCCATAATCAAGAGATCATGTTGATGAAATATTTTATTTTCTTTATCTTAGTATAAACCACCTGCAGTTAAGAAGTCCAGTTCTCCTGGAACCACATCGTCAGGATCTTCACGATTACCACAACCAAGTGGAACTAGCAAACCTGTTGTAGGTAATGAAAGCTGCAGTATCTGATACTTAAAAAAATTCTGTTGGTAGAGAAGGAAGTGAAAGTTGTGGTGTATTCTAGATTACTAAACTTATGATTAGATAACAGAAAGAAAAATAATGATTTTGCAGTAAAAGTAAACTACCTGTTAATAAAGTTTCTATTTTAGGTATTTTATTATTTTTAAAATCCATCTCTGATGAAATTTTTGATATATCATGTGTTCAGAATAGTCGCCCAAGTTTGCTTTGTTTTTAAAGGTTTTTTTTTTTCCTTAATTTTAAAGACAGAGAGAGAGATCTTCTGCCCGTTGGCTTACTGACTCCAGCAGCCAGTTCTGGGCAAGGCCCTAGGCAGGAGGAGGTAGCTCCATCTTGCTTGGTGTCAGAAGCCTAGGTGCACGCGCTGTCCCGCACTGCCTTCCCAGGTGCCTTAGCAGGAAGCTGGATGAAAGGGAGCAGCCTGAATTCGAACCAGCACTCCCAGGTGGGAGGCAGCTGTTTATTGCGGGCAACATCCTAATGTCCTGTGCCACAGTTCTAGCACTGGTTTTCTTGATTCTTTGAGCACAATATTTCCTCCTCATTTTTTATGTTAACTCCTCAGGCCTTTCTGCTCTTAACAGCTTATAGAAATCGACATTTAATGTTTATACTCTTTGAAGAAGATATTTACCGCTAAAATAAACCTTTATTTTTATGTATATCTTAAAAATAAATTTTTTTAGTAGTTTTAAATAAGTGATACTTTATGTTGTTCCTGGGAAATACTATTTTGTAAAGAATTTTATTTGTTAGGCCCGGCGCAATAGCATAATGGTTAAGGTCCCCTCCTTGAACGTGCCAAGATCCCATATGGGCACTGGTTCTAATCCCGGCCACTCCACTTCCCATCCAGCTCCCTGCTTGTGGCCTGGGAAAGCAGTCAAGGATGGCCCAAAACCTTGGGACCCTGCACCCTGCGTGGGAGACCCAGAAAAAACTTTCTGGCTCCTGGCTTCGGATTGGCGCAGCACCGGCTGTTGCGGCCACTTGGGGAGTGAATCATTGGACGGAAGATCTTCCTCTCTGTACATCAGCCTTTCCAATAAAATAAATAAATAGTAAAAAAAGAATTTTGTTTGTTGATTACTGCTGATTATACCCACAGAGAGTAGCACTGAATCTTTTTTTGTCACATGTTCTATTGTACATTTCTGTATTTTCTTTTTTTATTGTTAAAACTAATGCCCTTTTTATTATAAGGTTTGCCTTCAGGTAAAGTGTCTTCAGTTAACAGCTCTTTGGGAACTAAACTTCAGACCTTATCTCCCTCTCATAAAGGGATGGCAGCCCCTCAGACAGGGTAAGTCTCCATTGAATAACTAACTTATTAGTGGAGTGTATTTAAATCATGCTAAACTTTGATTTTGTTTAGATGACTTTTTAAATTAAGCTTAGTTTTGTTTTTTATAAATAGTGATAACTAGTCAGGAGCTCATTTACTGATGTTGAGAATTCAGATTAGTATAAGCATTTTGTGAACCATCTGGTGGCATTTTTTAAGAGCTTCAGAAATATGAAGATTTTAATGCTTCTATTTTGGGACTGTAAAGAAATAATTCAAATATAGATGAATTTTATAATAACTAATTTATTAAGCACTCAGGCACTGTGCTGGACATTTTACATATACTTTTATTAAAACTGCACCATGATCAAGAAAACCAGGAAAACAATAATTTGTTAAAATTCATGAAGTTTTTAAGAGTTAGAAGCAGAATACAAATTGGGATCTATATTTGCTTGAAATATTGTACTTTATACATGTTTTATCATCTCAAAAATTTGCTGAATAGACATCTTTGTTTGAATAATACATTATAAAAATCTACAAAGCAATATTTTGAAACCATTTAATAATACATGTACTTGTTTTAACAATGTGATCCTACAATAGTAAAAAAAAATGTAGGATACAAAATCCTTTATATACTGTGATGGGAAATATAAAAGTGTGTACATGAGAAAAATTTTGTGCAACAGGAACAGTGAATTTTTCTTTGGTATTTTATAGTACTTTCTCTAGTTTTGTATACATGGTTTTTATTAAAGTCACACAACTAAACTTTTAATAATTTGTTTTAATATGTGAAAGATTTTAGTAACACAGGTATTGAGTCTATGTAGAAGGCACATGCTCTTCCATTTTGATTAATAAAACAATTGAGATTGTCACTAAACTGCTCGAATTAAGGCTTACACTTGTTTTTACTTACGTTGATGCAGTTAGCTGCGTAAGTATAGCCCAGTGAGAGGCTCTCTTTCACTTGGTGTAGTTACTTACAAGGATATTTATCAAATGAAATAGTTATCTCTGTTTTTCATTTCGTATCAAACAGAAAAGACCTACAGAGTGTTTAATTACCGTGGTAGAAAAAGAAGATAACAAGATTGGAAGAGTTGAATGCTACATTTTTTTTCTTTTTGTTTGTGTTCCTAAGTGAGGGGATTTGCCATCTGCAGGAAGCTTTGATTATCAGTAGTCTTCCACTAATAAATTAATTTGCTGTTTCCTTGCGTCTGTGTTAACTCATTGGATAAAAGTGGAGTATAAATGTAGCAATCTACTTTACAAAGATGTTTTGCAGTATGACAGAGAACAACCTTCCATGATGAACTACAAGGCCCTGTGAGTCAGGAGGGTTTCTTCTGAAAACACTGTTATTTTTTCTACACATTTGCTGTAATAATTGGAATATTACTGTAGTGTACTAGAAAGATTCAAAGCTTACTGGTTAGTGCCAGAGTCCATTCCTTTTTCAGAATTACTGAGATAATGATTCATTTTCCTTACTAGATGAACATTCCATGATGGCCGAGAGCATGTCTGCCTTGCTTTACAGAAATAGTTACAGAAGCTCATGTGTAGACACCCAAGGATTTTTGGTGAATAACTGAAAAAATAATTAGTAAAATAAATTCCTGATCTGTAAATCTGTTGATACATCGTAGAACTGTGGTCCTGGAACAAGTGGAAGATTAACTTGAAGTTTGTATGGCCACAATTTTTTCCATTTAGAGTTGATTCAGGATTATTAAAGGTGTAATTAAGATATCCAGTTAGCTATCATGTTCAAGAAATGAGATCTATAAATTAAATCATTTCATTAGCTTGTAATTGTTGGAAGCCTGATGTATATAATATTTATTTTGGTTTACAAGGCCAAATTAGTGATCTGAAACATTTATCGTGTTTACATAGAGATTTTTACCTTTGCACTAGAAAATGTATTCATATTTGATGGTTAACATCTAGGCAAGCTGTGGATCAACTGTAACTAATGTTTTAAACTTACACTGGTGGAAAACTTTCCCTTATAAGATAATTATCTTTAATCCTAGGAAATTCTTAAAGTATGATGAGGTACTGTACTTTCGTACAAGTATTACCACATTTAAATTGTGTCAGAATTTACACAGTTGCACTTTGTGAACAGCATGTGTTTCTAATTGGTAATAAAGAAGTTATTTCGTAGGTTGGAAAGGATGATAGTGATCTGGTATGTGCTGGTTCATTTCCAAGAATCCTGCAGCAGCCATGCCTGGGCCAGAGAAGGGCGTATTTCCCAAACTGGTAGCAGGGACTGAACCATGTGAGCCGTTCTGTTCTACCTTCTAGAGTGTGTATTATCACGCTGCTAGAATTGGAACCAGAGCCAGGACTTGTGGACATCCAAGCAGCATCATAACTGCTGTGCTACATGTGTGTTTCTTAATAGTTAATTACCAATTCAAATGAGTGTTTTGGCAGATAATTAATAATTAAAATATTAAATTTTAAAGATTTTACTTTTGTTCAATCACTAAGAAAAAAATGTTTACTTTGGAGTTCATAACAGGTATAAAATCAGAGCCACATAATACATGTGTGGTGCACCTATTTAATGAAAAATCTAATGCTTAATACCATTAGAACCAGTAGGAAATAACACATGATTTTTAATATTTATATATATGTGATTTTTCTATATTTTAAAAAATATTTATTTATCTAATATTTATATATATGTGAGATTTTTCTTTTTTTAAAAAAAAGATTTATCTTTATGGAAAGGGAGATATACAGAGAGAAGTAGAGACAGAGAGAAAGATATTGCATCCACTGGTTCACTCCCCAGGTGGCTAGAGTTGAGCCCATCTGAAACCAGGAGCTAGGAGCTTTTTCTGGGTCTTCCACGTGGGTGCAAAGTCCCAAGGCTCTGGGCCATCCACAACTGCTTTCACAGGCCACAAGCAGAATGCTGGAAGAGAAATGGAGCAGCTAGGATATGAACCAGTGCCCGTGTGGCATTCTGGCACATGCAAAGCAAGGATTTTAGCCACTAGCTACTACATTGGGCCCTAAAATATATTTTTATGTGAATGTAACATTTTTGCTTTTTTTTTTTTGATAAGCTAATCTTTTGATATGTGTGAATTGACTATGTATGAAATAGGAGTTAGATTTTTATAAACTTTTATGTCTTACTGATTTGCAAATCCCTAAGACAACCTAAGATAACAGAGCCTTGACTGTTATACAAATGAAAATGATTGAAGCTGTTGAATTAGGAAGCTAACTTTGCCATGGAGTTGAGATAATAAATTCATGAATTTATGCATTTATGAATTTGTGACCAAAAGTCGATAAAAGACAAAGTGTAAAACTTAAGATGCCTCATAGCATTAACTGTAGAGTCCACAGAGATGTGAAATAAAATTTGATAAAAAAAAAAATCCCCGTTGTTGGCATTTTAGAAGTCATCTTTTTATGACATTTTCATGTTATGCTTCATACCATTTTACAGTACACTGTATCAGCCATACTGCCTGACTTTATTTTCTAAATGAATTCACTCTTATGGTTTCAACAACAGGGACCATTCATAGATTATTCATCTAAATCATTTATACATGGATAATGTTGCCAAGTATTGTCAATGTAATATATAATGATGTGGTGTCATGTGTTGCTTCAATATTAAGGTGCATTGTGTAATGTTCATTCAGGGTACATATACTGATCTCAACTTGTTATTTTTGGTGACACCATTCAAAAATCTTCTAGCTTTTAAAAAATATTCGTAGTGTATTATGCTTGCCTATAATCACACTACCTGTGCAATAGACCAGAAAAACTTCTCTCTCTTATCCATAACTTAGACTCGAAAGTCACGCTTTCCTCCCTCATTCCTCCTTCCAATTGTCCACAGCCTCTATTCACCATCATTCCACTCTCAGCTGTGAGATCAGCTTCTCTAGTTTCCATCAGTGAAAGAGATCTCCCCTTTTCTTGGTTCTCTCTTTAGTTGAACATTTTGGAATACAGAAGCTTCTAGCTTGGTGTATTCCTATTTATTTTTGCTTTTATGGCTTGTCCTTCTAGGGCCTTTTTGAAGAAATCTCTGGCTGTATCTACATCTGAGCAGTTTTCCTCTAGTGATTTGATGGTGTTTGGTCATAGATTTAGGTCCTTGATCTGTTTTGCATAGATCTTTGTATAATGTGAAAAGCAGAGGTCTTGTTTCATACTTCTGTACACGTCACTTCAGCTTTCCCAGTACAGTTTCTTGAAGAGACTGTCCTTTGCCAGGAATTGATTTCAGTTTGCTTATCGGAAGTTAACTGCCTGGGAACGTGTGGGTTCATTTCTGGGATTCTGTCTGATGGATGCACCGGTCTGTTTTTGTGCCACAATCATGCTGTTTTGATTGTATCTGCTCTAAAGTACTTCCTGGCGTCTGGTATCATGATACCTTCAGAGAAATCTGTCTTAAAACTCTGATGTAAAATTTTATAAATCTTAATCTCAGTAACTTTTTTTTTCAGAGAAAGTAGTACCTTATAAAATTTTAGGTATCTTAAAGATAACTGCTGTGAAACAGTAGTGCTTTGATAACTATTAAATAACACTTCAAAGAAAATCTGATTAAAATCTCAAATAAGTAAATTTTTCAATAATGTTTCCTGATTAAAAACAAACTTTAATATCATTATAGAAATTGTTTAATGTATGATCAGATGAAGCCTTTTTTTTTTAAAAAAAAAAATCTTAAATACTAATGTATGTACCGCTACCTGCAGAATATTAGTGATACTTTTTATAACAAAATGCTTTTTATACATAGGCTGCTTCAGAACATGCAATGAGTGTAAGGAGTCCCTCATCAGAATTCCATTTACTCCAGAAAAATGAAGAAATTCTTTTTAGGATACTGAGTTTATTTATCCATTATCAGAGCTATCTTCTCTGTCTCTACAAAAATCAGTACAGTGTCTGACATGTACTATGTTTTCAGAGTTTTATTTAGTCAGTGAGTAAGTAAAAAGCAATCAGTAAACAACCCTCCTTTTTTTTAAAAAAAATGTACTTTTCAATGTAACCACAGCAATATCTCATTCAGTAGTTATGTAAGATACTTTTTATAATTTCCTAATTATTTCCCTACTCTATGAATGAAAATTGGTGGTAGTGTATGTGTTTAAATTATTTGGTGTTGGCAAAGCCATGCAAAGTCTATAAACATGCCAATTTATCCTATTATCCTCTCAAGGGAGATACTATAAACTTCGGTTAAAAAATAAGTAGAAAGTTTTAGATGACATGGTCACTTTACAATTTTACATCTGATTTTTTTATGAAAAAACATTGCTCTCCAATGTTTTTCAGATAAAGTCATTTCACTTTTCTCTAGATACATTTCAGGAGCAAAGTATTAGAAGATTAGATGGGGTAATTATATAAACTGCATTCAATTACTTATTTTATGTTGGAATTTTAATACTTGGGAAGTCATAATAGAGAAGAAAAATTTAGAGAAGAATGAAAATTGCCTTTATTGTGAATAGCAAGTTGCATATCACTTTTGACTACACGAAGTTTCTTTGGAATAGTTTTTGTTTTTCCTGTGGTTACATCTGCTTGCTGTGTGAATATGGGATCTGTTTGGATGAGCACCAAACTGGCAGGATGGCCTGCAAGATCAGAATTTCCCAGTCAAATTATGCATTCCATGTGAGCTTTTTGAGGATTTCTTTTTTACATTGGATCTCATCTGGCAGCCAGATAATTATGGGGTGGATTTCTGATAAACTAGTATGTCTTTTTTTTTAAAAATTCTTTATATAAAAAGCATTAGCAACCTCCTTATGGGTACACCTTTATATATTTTAATAGTAAGATGGGCATGTTAGGCCCTCCACTTCGAACTGGAAGAAATATGCAAAAGTTGTATGACTGTGATACAAAATCAAACAGTGCCATCAAAAGACATGAGTTATTACCCATTTACAAGTAAGTATTTGTAACTCAGTTTGATTAATCATTTTCAGATATTTCTTTAAATGATTTGTATAGTAGAATACTGTGACTTTCCGCTTTCATACTCAAGTCAAAAAACACTAATCTTTTAGGACTTAAAATGTTCAAATCTCTTATCAATATTTTTAGTGTGTTAAGATAGAACTGCTTTTAGACCATTCAACTAAAAGAGGTTTTCCATAACAGTCACCTTCAATGAAATTGTTTTCAAGAGTAATGGTCTTGATGCTCCTCTACAGAGAGTCTTCAAAATGTTCACAGAAAACACATATTATAGAAAACTGTGTGCATGTAGTTAAAACATGTTTGCAACAGAATAACTGTCTTTACTTCATTTTTATGAACATTTTGAAGTATCCCCATACATTATGTTATCTTGCCAGATTAGTTTTAGTGAAGCAGCTGATGAATTATTATAAACTACCTGAATGAAAGAACTCAGAAAACATTAAGCTAGCAGCCCTTAGTGTTTTTGTTAGCATATGTAAATTCCAAGACAGATTCATTTCTGTTCTGTTCTAATCAAGCTGAGAAGATGGAACAGTGAATGAATTTTCATGGTGAATTTTCATTGTGAATCTTCAAAGTTCACTCCATTGAGCCTCAATGTCAAGACTAGTCCCTTTATCAAATGATAAAATTCTGATATAATAAATTATCTTACTTATTAAAGTTGAATAGCATATTATTATAGTTATCTTTTAAACCAATTCCTACTGCAAAATGTTTCCTGCTGTGTGTGTGTGAATAGTAACAAGTTTAATCAGCATATGATTAATTTTTGTGAGTAGGAGAGAGAGAATTCCCCTTTCCTGATTCACTCATCAGATATGTTCAGTGTTCCCCAGTTGCCGCTGAAGCCAGGAAACTAGAACATCTACCTGGGCTCCCATCCCCCATACAAGTGGCAGGAAATCATAAACTTGAAACATTATTGGTAAATACTAGCACAAAGATATGGTCTGAGCCATTTTGTTGTAGTAGTACCTCCTGCATCTTCTGAAGTGGTACTCTAAGAAACCCTAGTAGAAAAATAAGTTAATTACAGTAACAAAGTTAAGCCTCTTATCATTTGAGGAGTAAAAGCAGATTCCAGATATAGAATATGATATATAGATAGATATACAGAGAGCAATGATTTTCAAACTTTTGCCAGAAAGAAAAAAGTGCAACTCAGATACTGGAACAACATGTTTTATGTACTGATCAATCAAGACAGACTTGTTTCATTTCCTGAGAGTTATGCTTGACATTCAATTTCCATCGCTTAAAAGATATTATTAAGCATAAGTATGACAGCTGTTAATGTTGATAATTTTCCTTTAAATGTAAACCTTTTGAGCAACTTTATTGATACAGTGAGCTCATGTGTATGTTCATGAGTATGTTTGTGTTAGTTGTGTATCTCATTGTATATATTATATGAAGGTGTGACAGAATTTTTAAATTGGCTGTTCTAGAGCCAAAGCATAAAAGCACCCTTGCCATTCAAATGCTATTTTTTGACAGTTATTTTTTTAGACCTTGAATTCGTGGAAAGGCACTTTAATAGTTCTGTAAAATCTAGAACAAATACGCAAAAGCAGAGTAGCCTAATCCTCATGGATGGAGTTAGAGTGGCAATTTTAAGAGTTCCATGATATGCCATCCATGCACCAAGGTGATTCTTTGCTTGTGGACATTTAGAAATATTTTAAATGATTTATTCAAAGCAGCTTGTTTCTGAAGGAAAGTAGTACATATTTGAATGCATTTGTAGTACAGTCCACCTAAGTAGAAGTTCAAGTACTACTATGATCACAGAATAGCTTTGCAACCTGTATTATCTCACTAAGCCCAGGTTTCTTCAGCTTCAGAGTGGAGTGGTATCTTCTGAAATTTTGGAGAACACTAAATTAAATGAAGTATATGACTTCCAATCTGGCCTATAGTGCGTATCTGACTAATAGTCCATGTTGTTAAACCTATGTGTGTTTTAGAAATAACCACATAAGCATTTAGGATATTTTATCACACAAATAGAGTCAGAAGAATTGTAGCAAAAGCTTGAAACTGCTAATTGCACAGTATTGTAAAATGTGCTCTCCTTTTACATATAAGAACATTATGCTGATTATTTATGAAATGCCAAAGTTTAACTGACTTGCAAAAGAGGGATAGAGAAATAATGCTTTGTGAACATCAGATCCCTGACTGCAGAATACTGGCTTTGTCACCTTGGGCAAGTTACTAACGGGTTCTTTGCCTCAGTTGCCTCTTATATAAAATGAAGTTATTAGTTGTTCTATATGTAATAGGTTTATTAAGACATCATACATATGTACAGTGACCAAAATGTATTTAACACTAGAAGAATGAGTATATAAGGGGTAACTTAGAACAGCAGCAATATCATTAGTATTAGTAATGCCAGTTATACTACTTTTATGCAAATTTCTATCTTACATTCCTGTAAGGCATCATTTTATAAATGAGAGCGTTCAGATGCAGAGAAGTTGGCTACTCTTACAAAGCATATCAGTAGCTGTTTGAATTTGAATTTAGAATTATGTGTACCAAAGCCTTTCTTTACCTTTAGTATTGTATCATCATTTAACCTTTTTTAAAAATAACTTTTTAAACATTTATTTTTTTTTAAATTGGAAAGTCAGGTTTACAGAGAGAAGGAGAGACAGAGACAAATATCTTCCATCCGCTGATTCACTCCCCAAGTGAACTGCTTTCCATAAGCAGGGAGCTGGATGCAAAGTGGAGCAGCCGGAATACGACCCAGTGCCCATATGGGATCCTGGGCCAAGCTAGGCAAGGACTTGGGCCACTAGACTACTGTATTAGGCTCGTCATTTAACTTTCTTGTCTCTTTTTAATCATTTAATTTCTTAAACTTTCTATGACTTCTAAAATTTCAAAGTGAGAATTAGTTGATAATGTAACTAAGAGTTCTAATGCCAGACAGCTCTTGTGTAGTTCGCAAAATTAAATCTTTAAAGGAGAAGTTACACTGCCTCCTTTATTTCATTTACAGTCTCTGAATCATTACCATCTGAAGTAGTTAGCTGTGTATTATTTTTCAACCACACTTCATATGACTAAAGTTATAGTAAAAGCTTGTTGAATGTATTACTTACTTTTTAATTAGTAGGCATTAACAACTTATTTGAAAATACTATAAATTCACTTTTGAAGAAAATTTCAAGCCTTTAAGGATTATATTACAAAATTTCATGTAAAGTGTATGTGCAGATTTTAACTGATTGTAGATATTACAAGGATGATGTTAGTAAATTCTTTTTAATTTATTCCAGATTGTCTACTGTTTGTTTCCATGTTGCAAATAATCATTGGGACTTCGATGTTTTCAAGTTCTCTTCAGCTTTAATAATTTTTGTAATTGAATAATGGTCTTTCAGTGATTTTTCATTATGTCATCTCTTTCTGTCTTCTAGAACTAACATCAAACCTCGAAATTCCACACCACCTAGTTTGGCAAGAAACCCTGCCTCGGGTGCACTTACAAACAAAAGAAAAACATATGGAGCTGACAGTCAGGTAGCAAGGTATGTTCCATTTTACTATAACTAATAACTAAAATTGAAGTTAGAGTATTTAGTTTCTCACAAACCATGGACAAAAATACATAATATGCTGTTCATACAGTGATTTTTTTCTTTTACTATGTAATTTAATCTTTAAATTGTACACTAGACACAGTTTGAATGTAAAATTTTCCTGTAATTTGTCATTATTTGTTATGAATGCTTCATTTATTCATTTTGTTGAATCCATATGGATTTTTGGTGTTAATTTTAACTGCACAGCGTTTTTACTTCAACAGGTGGAGAAATGGGTCCTTTGAACTTGTGCTCTCGTTATTGTCAGCAGGTTTATTGTTGTCCACCCTCTGATGATTAACATACTTCCTTTTCTGATTTTCATGATGTTTACTCTTTGACATTAGTGTCTTAAGTGTAATGAACTCAGTTATGGCTGTCGCTGCAGCTCACTGTACTTCACAGATTTATGTCCCTTCCCTTCAGTTTCTGGAACAGCATGAGATTGGTATAAAATAGCTATAACTGAGATGAGTTCATGATTTTCTTTTTAAGATTTATTTTATTTTTATTGGAAAGCAGATGTACAAAGAGGAGGAGAGACAGAGACAAAGATCTTTCATCTCCCCAATGGCTGTAGTGGCCGGAGCTAAGCCAATCCGAAGCCAGGAGCCAGGAGTTTTTTCCTGGGTCTCCCACATGGGTGCAGGGTCCCAAGGCTTTGGGCTGTCCTCAACTGATTTCCCAGGCCACGAGCAGGAAGCTGGATGGAAAGCAGGGTCATGGGGATTATAACCAGTGCCCATATGGGATCCTGGCACTTGCAAGAGGAGTACTATAGCTGCGAGGCTACCACTCCAGGCCCTAGTTTATTACCTTTAAAAACAGTGACATCAAAGATGAGTGAATAACATGACAAATTAGGAAAGAAAGTATGCTAATTATCTCAGAAAATTTAATGTTACAATGTGCTACATTTATATATATACATAAATGTAGAGAGAGTGCCTTGTGTTTTGAATGAATTATCATATTATATAATGTGTTTTTTTAATCTAAGCAAAATTAATCTCTTATAAAAATGGAAAGCTTAATATATGCAGTAATCTATGTGAATTAAGCGTGTCCATCTCTTCAAAAGATGAGAAATAGAAATGCCAAAAGAGAGGCACAAAAATCATATTAAGCAGTAAGTTTTGGCTCTTGGTTTTATTCCTTTAAAAAATGGCCGGTATTTAACGGGAAGCCAGGATCCTGCCTCTTTCTCACTGGGCTTCATCCTTACCCCCACCCGGAGAGAAATAATTCTAACCATAATAGATAAAGAAAATTCAGTGACTCTTTTTTTCTTCAAACCTGATAGGATACATATTTTTGGGAAGTCTAGTAAAACAACCTAAAAACGGTGAATAGAGGAAAAAGGTATTATTTACTAAAATGTAAATAGTGATATCTCAGTGAATGTTCTGCTGATGCGGTCAGTATACTGAAAGTTATTATAGTCAGTTTTTTTTAGACAAACATCCATAAGTGTTAGGTATATAAGAATCCGTTAAAAAGCTAAGCAAGAGCTTTAAATTTGGTAACATTGTAAAACATAAAAGACATTAAGAGAAAAAATAAGAGATATATGCTTTTTCCATCAAATAGAGTAATATCACAAAGTTGTCTTATACACGTATCCTTACCCGAGTTAACAAAGTCAGTGCAGAAATCACGTGTCTTGACAAACTTTTGTCCCACTGTCAGTAAAGCAAGAGAAGAGTGAAGGAGCAAAGAGAATTTGAAAACAATAATGTGTGTATCAAAAAAAATAAAATTATGTGTGAATGCTGTATGCAACTATAACAGTTAAGACATTGTGATACTGTCTCAAGGAGAGTAAAATGAAATAATAGGTCAAAATTGAGCATTCAGATAAGACCACTATCCCACAAATACTTGGAAATTTATCATACTTGAAAGGTAGCAATGAATATGTAAAAGTGTGGAGTATTTAGACATATGGGTCTTGCATATGTGGAGAAAAAACTACAAGTAAATTAAGGTGGAAGGAAAGCTATCTTTGAATATGAAGTGTCATTATCATGATTTCTTGATTAATATTGCTTGTGGGCAAGAAAGTGTTATTCAGATTAAACTGAAAAACTACTACTGCAAAAGACTGCTGGGATAGAGTGAAATAAACAGTACACATTAGAAAGGAAACTTACAATATACGTGACAAGTTATGGTTGAGAATATTTGTTCAGCTTCTACAAGCAGAATTTTAACTGAACCTGTGTGGTACAAAATGTGCCTTGTGGATGGGAAATTGGAGGCAGACATGTCACAGTGGAAGAAATTCAGATGGCAAGAAACATGAACAGATGATCAGCTTTATAAGCAGTTGGGAAAAATGTATGTAAAATCCGTAGTAGGCTAACATTTAAGAAAAATGTTTTTAGGGCCCGACGCAATAGTGTGGCGGTTAAATTCCTCTTAAACATGCTAGGTTCCCATATGGGCGCCAGTTTTAATACTGGTGGTTTTGCTTCCCATCCAGCTTCCTGCCTGTGGCCTGGGAATGCAATCAAGGATGGTCCAAAGCTTTGGGACCCTACCCACGTGGGAGACCTGGAAGAGGTTCAGCAGCAGCTGTTATGGTCACTTGTGAAGTGAACCATCGGAAGGAAGATCTTCCTCTCTGTATATCTGCCTTTCCAATAAAAATAAATAAATCTTTTTAAAGATTTGTTTTAATTGGAAAGGCGGATTTACGGAGCAGAGGCAGAGAGAAAGATCTTCCATCCACTGGTTCACTGTCAAGTGGCCACATTGGCTGGAGCTGAGCTGATCCAAAGCCAGGAGCCAGGAGCTTATTCTGGGTCTCCCACCCGGTTTAGTGTGCCAAGGCTTTGGACCATCCTCTCTACTGCTTTCTCAGGCCACAAACAGGAAGCTGGATGGGAAGTAGAACAGCCAGAATAGGAACCAGCAGTGCAGCAAGGCAAGAGCTTTTGACACTAGACTATCGTGTTGGGGGGATCTTCAAAGAGAATTGATCTGAGGGGATCCCAGACCTGATTCTTTGTGTCTGCTTGCCAGTGCAGGATCTGGCGCAGTGAGCCACCCCAGTCAGCTAATGCATATGCTGGGTCAGTTCTGTTTCCAGCACTGTCTTCTACACAAACCAATGGGTGTTGCAGTTCAGTCCGATCCTGCCCATCACACACTTGGCCCTCATGTACACCAGTGGGAGCTGCAGCCTAATCAGAGCAACCTGCAATAACCCCCACCTGGCCCACACTCTATCCCAGTTCTCGTGCTTGTCAGTATGTACAGCAGACTGGTTCGGTCTGTCCCATATCCCTTTTAGCTCTCATACATGTCAATGGGCATTGAAGCCTAGTTCAACCCAACCAGCCACGCTATCCAGCCCATACATGTGCCAGTGGATGCCACTCTGTCTAGCCATGGCTGCCCCACTTCTGGTTCTCATGCTCACTGGTCGGAGAAGAAACCCAAGAGGGAGGCGCCCACTATTTCCCTGCTGGGCCCACATGATGTCAGGGACCTAAATACTTGAGCTGTTGTGTGCTGCCTCCCAACAGTACGTATTAACGGGATTGAAAGCGGAGTTCACACTTGATCTTAGGCACTGTAATATGGGCTGAATGTGTCCCTAAAGTAGCAGCTTAACCCAGCAGTTTCACAAGGCCAGACTTTTTAAGAATTCTTTTTATTCCCAAAAGGTATGAAAATCATACCAAAATTGTGAATTAACTAGAATTCTTCAATAAATTTCTGCGGAGAAAGAATATTTTATTTTCTAGGAGTACCATGCTTATAATCTTCCAGTGATGAGAAGTTCCCTTTGTGGTGATTTTAAAGTAAACATCATATTCTCAGAAGAGAGAGAAGACATTCTTATAGAATTAAATAACCCATCATGACATGCACAAGTGCTTCGTCACAGTAGCTTGATCTAATTGAATAATAAAATTAAAGAGTAAATTAATGGAGATTTCACGTCACAATCCTTCTAACTGAGGAGGGAGACCTGGAAACCGAAGACCCTTGGTTTTCTCTGTGAGTTTAGATTTTCTTTGTATGAGGGTTTAGTGTACCAAATGCTTACACAGAGAAGAGACGGAAGTTTGACTATCTTTGGTCAAGATAAATTCTAACACTGACAGATCTGTTAAAGAGGGCTTTTAAAATTATGATACGTACTAACAGGAGTTCTCTTAGAATTTGAACTAGAAGACTATTGAAAATGAGATTGAGTAAGTTATTATATTTTATTTTTTCTCAAGTCTTATGTATTTGATTAGTTCTTTGATTTATATTTAATTGTAGATGTGAGTAGAATAAAAGAATAATTTTTCATACTCATTTTGTTTAGTGCCTAATGTTGGATCACCATTCACATCTCAATGAAAAGCTGATGAGAACTTTGTATTTCTGTTTTCTCCTATACTTTTCCAGGCCAGATGGGGACTACACATCTTCGTTTAATGGTGGAAGCATTAGAAGCACTGAAGGAAATTCATCTGGACACTTACCAAAATTCTGCCACGAGTGTGGGACTAAATACCCTGTAGAATGGGCGAAGTTCTGTTGTGAATGTGGCGTTCGGAGAATGCTTCTATGAATAGCAACCCAGATGAAAAAGAACCAGGTTCAGAATTCTATGATTATTGCTGCTTGGACAGCTAGAGCACTTCCTCTGGTTATTTTGTGCTAAAAATATTCAAAATATCTTTACTGGTAATTTTGGGCACATATCTTATGGTTGTATTATGAGTATTTGTATATATGTGTACATAAGCTGTATAGAATAAATACCTGATGATATTCCTTAAACTATACCATGCAAGGAAATACTTGTCTTTCAGAAAATAATTTCTAATGGAACCATTAGCTTAGGTATTACATTTCTCCTGTAGTGCAGGCACATTCAGTGTATGTGTCCACAAATTCTCAGACTTTATGCTTCACACTTGGGGTAATCAGAAGGTTAAAAACAAATCAGAGTGATTGTTTTCATTATTGATGCCTGTCTCTAGATAGTGGTGTGATAGGATGGCATATTCTGAATTTACTGATTGAGGATAATGATTTTAGTACTATTGGGTTTGTGAGGTCATTTTCCTATTGAGATTTTTAATTAAGTTATAGCTAATTTTATAAATCCTAAAAAAAATGCAAGCAGTAGACCCCCCGAGATCGACATTGCTCACAGCGTATTATTAATTATGTAAAGATTATTACTACTCATTCTGTGAAAATGTAATGATGCATTTCTTTTCAGAGACACAAATTTAAAGACATGTCTAATTTATAACCAAATGAGCTTTTAAAACTTTTGTGTGAATTAGTTGAACAATTATGTTTTCTTCCTGCATTCTAATCATGTTGCCAAATTTCTCATTCCTTTTTCTTTTCCAAAACCTTTATGGAGCACTTTTAGTTTACTGCTTCATTTTTATAAATTTTTGTTATATCCTACATGTTTAAAATTTTTTATTTTTGTGTAACTGAATTTAGAATAAACTATTTCTAATACATCTTAAGGCACTTCACCTAATAAATAATAACCACAGTATTAATCATTAGTGCTGAGCATGCAAGTCAAAAGTATTTGAATATTAGTTCCTTGACGTATATTTAAATACAGATGTGAGTAGGATAAAAGGATATTTCATTTTTCCTACTCATTTTGTTTAGTGTTTAGTATTGAATCACCATTCACATCTCAAAGTCAAAATATGTTTAATGTGTAACCAACCTGTTATATAACTAAATATATACAAAAGTTTGTATTTTTTTCTTCAGCTCGACTAAAAATGAGCTTTCAATCATCGTCATTTTTAGGATGACACAGTGTTTAGTAGGAAATCAGTCATTTTGTAGTAATTTCAGTTCAGTCAAATGTAAGTGAACATCTTAAAAAGGTAGAAGCAAACCTTTTATATCTTATGTAATCTCTAGCTTGTTTATGATTCTGATCAACTGTATTCATTGTAAAAAATTGTAGGTTATAGTTTTTCAGAAATTCTGAATTTTTCTTACTTGCTTTTTTATTGTTGATTTGTGCAGGAGTTTAAACCTAGTTTATTTATAGGATTATTATTTTTGTGTACCTTATAGATTTCTTCCTGATAATTTTTATTAGTATTTTCCTTTCTATCATATTCAGTCATATTGATAAAGAAAAAGCAAATATCCATCAGCTAGAATAAGCTATAATGTGTTTAAAGACTTGTGTATGCATTGGGCTTCCTCTTCGTTATGTTTATTCTATCCTCATTGTCAGAAATCAGATGAGGAGCACTGAACACTTTCTTTTATCTTAGGAATGAGCACTATTTTCATTCTAGTATTTTTAAAGATTGTATAATTTTTTCGTGTGTGCTTAAGGCAGGGGTAGGTTAAACTAAATAACAAAAAATTTTTAAAAGGTGAGTAAATTGGCATATGTTTGTTTCTCACTGAATTTTATAGTAGCAAGTAAATGTTGTAGTCTGCCAAATGAAATTGAATTGGTAAGAGATGATCTAATCCAGGCCTCAAAGATTATTATAAGCAGTAAGTAGATGAAATATATTTATGACATATAAACATGTGACAATTTAAATGCATTTCATATTGCATATCTTGTTCTCACATTGATTTTTTGTGCAATTCTTGTTGAGAAAATTTTCTATGCATCATTTTATTTATTTTCACAAGTATTTGTGTAGTAGAATAAGAAATGATAAGCTTAAATTAAATTGTAAAAATTATATATTATTCTGAAAGTCGTTAGCTTGAAAAAGTAAGAATGTGGCTGCTGTTTGTTGTCTCTTAAGTGTTTTTATCAAGATGTTATCTTTTTCGAGTCAATTCAATAAAGACACAAAGCATAAATATGCTAGTTGGTATTCATTGATTCTAGCAACATGTAAGTAGATAAGAACTCACTGATCAGGAAATATTTGAACTGAAATGTATAGATTTTTAAAAATGAGAAGGTAGGGCCCAGCGGTGTGGCCTAGCGGCTAAAGTCTTCACCTTGAACACGCCAGGATCCCATATGGGCGCCGGTTCTAATCCCGGCTACTCCACTTCCCATCCAGCTCCCTGCTTGTGGCCTGGGAAAGCAGTCAAGGATGGCCCAAAGCTTTGGGACCCTGCACCTGTGTGGGGTACCTGGAAGAAAGTTCCTGGCTCCTGGCTTCGGATTGGCATAGCATCGGCCGTTGAGGTCACTTGGGGAGTGAATCATCGAAAGGAAGATCTTCCTCTCTGTCTCTCCTCCTCTCTATATCTGACTTTCCAATAAAATAAAATAAATCTTAAAAAAGAAAAATGAGAAGGTAGCTTTTACTGGCTTTTTGATGGCCTCTTTAAATTTTTCTTACTACTAGATTATATCATGACAGTATTATAGATACTTTTTCAAGTATACAGACATTATCTTCACATCTAATAAAACTTAGCAATTGGGCCTAGCACCGTGGTGTAGCAGGCTAAGCCTTTTCCTGCACCTCTGCCATCCCACATGGGTGACGGAGAGAATCGGAGCTGCTCCACTTCTAATCCAGCACTAAGGTGTGTAGGAAGGCAGCAGAAAATTGCCTGCATGGGAAACCTGGAATCATCTTCTAGTTTCTGCCTTTGAGGTCATTTGGGGAGTGAGGCAACATATGGAAGATTCTTTCTCTGTAATTCTGCCTTTCAAATAAAAATAAATCTTTAAAATAAGAAATAGTAATTAAAAACATTAGTGATGTCAAATTAATAGGAAACTTATTTGTAACTGGTATGATGTCATAGCAGAAGCTGTTTTATAATATTTTATGATTTAGACTTAAAAATGTAGAGTTATCTGCAGTAAAAATATAAGTAAAAGATTGGAAAATAATGGAAGTACATAGAAAAAATCAGCGAGAATTATGTGTGTAACGCATGTTTTGTATGATGAATATATTTTGAGTGATAAGGTTATTTTTTTACAAATGGTTATATTATTGAATGTCACAACAACTAATTGGTTTTTTTTTTTTAAGTTATTTGTAGCCATACTTGTTTTTATTTTCATTTGGAAAAATAAAATACTCAGGATGCCAAGGTAAATATGTTTTCTTAATGTAATGTGTGAGTTGCTTCTTTTGCCACTAGAGGGTGCTTGTGGATAATGCATAGTGTAATTGCTAGTCTGAATTACTATGTTAAGTTGACAGGCTTCAGCAATATAAGTATGAATTTTTTTTCTGATAATTTTGATAAATTTTTTCCTTCCCTTTTTCATGCATAGGAATAAAGAGACTTTAATTTCTTTTATTATGATTTTAATAATTCAAAGTTGTTGAACTTATTTTAAAAACCTAATTCAATCTGTTATGCCACCAACTAGTAGTAATTGAGAGGAATAGTAAGAATTTATACTTTACAATATTTTATTACCAGAGTTGTGAATCTTAAGCTTTCACGTTGCCAAATAACTGGAACAGTTGCACTAATCTTTCATCTGTGCTATAGTGCAGTTTAGTAGGTTAAGATCTTAGCGTAAAGATCTTTTTTTTTTTTCTCATTTGCCCTAAATTAATATCTAATCTGGCAAGCTGGCTTCTATTAGTTAATAGCTATTACATTAGTGGATATTCCAATTACTGTAAGATGTGAAAAGCTAAAACTTTATGCTTAGAAATATTTTGAAAAGTATGTGCTCATTCTATAAAATCTTCACTATCAAGAGAATATGATGTGGTTAATTCTGTTATTAAACTGGTATGATTTATTTATAATAGCTGATGTGAAACCAAAGTGATTGCAACTTAGGGCAAAAAGAAGTGATTCCTTTTGAAAAATTCTTCATTTAAATTTGAGAGCCAGAAAGCTCCCATTTCCTCGTCAAGTGCATGCCTGAAATGGCTGTACTTTACCGTTCTACCACTTGGAGCAGGAACTCAGCCTGTGTCTCCCACAGAGGTGGCAAGGGCCCAAATGGCTTGAACCATCACCTGTAACCTCTTCTAGTCTGTATTAGCAGGAGACTAGATTTGGAACTGGAGCCAGCACTCAAACCACGAAGGTGGGATGTGTACATCTCAAGCAGCATCCTGACCTCCATCAAATGCCCACTCCCACCCAGTTTAATGCATCATGTTTGTTTTAATTATAAAGGAACTGATAGAGTTCTGCAGCACTGTTAGACTCTCTCCTTCTCTTCCTTCCCCTTCCCTTCCCTTCCCTTCCCTCCCCTTCCCTTCCCCTCCCCTTCCCTTCCCCTTTTCATATTTTTTGTTGTTTTTCCAGGCACATTAGCAATGAGCTGGATTGGAAGTGAAGCAGCCTACTGTTGAACAAGCACCTCTATGTAATGCCAGAATGTGAGGCAGTGAATTTACGCACTTTGCCACAATGTCAGCTGCAATAGATAATTTTCATAATATCTTTATTACTGAAAATGATATGTGAAGGTAAAAGAATTAATGTAATCATTTTTCCTGAATTTAACTCAAGAAGATATTCTAAAACATGGATTTTTGCTTCATAGCACACAAAGTGAAAGATAAACTTGGTCTAAATATTTAAAAGCTATTTGGTCATGGTATCAAGCTAGAGTGAGGATATATGTTTTTATATATTCATATGTCTATATAAAGATAATGTAGATCTACTTTTGTATATTCCTTTTAAAACTTAAAATCTTTTTTTGTTCTGATTCTCATAATGTTAGTCCAGGATTTTTACTAATATCACACTTGAGAATCCTTACAGGAAAAAAAATAGATCTCACAAAGAAACAGGAATGAAAAGTTTCATTTTAAACCCTAATTTCTCAACCATGATTCGCTGAAAACATTCTGTGCCATTAGATATTAATTTGAAAATCTTAAACAATAGATATTTCAACAAT